TTTCTGTGTTAAAGCTATAAACAATACCCCATTTTTTTCTCCCTGTTTTCCATTTCCATGTTGCTACACAAGTATTTTTCAAGGGGATTATTCTAACAGGACTTTGCAGTGTGTGTATGGGTGTGTGTACAGATATAACAACTGAGTGTCTCTCCAATTGGCAGGCAGTTGATGCCCTGAAACAGCTCTACCTGGAGTTTCCATCTTTATACAACAGCAGCATAGTCTGTTCTTTCATGCCAGATGTTGTGTATAAGGTGATGTTTCCTCAATATTTACTTGGGTTTTTTTTAGTTTTGCCTGGGAATTTGTTAGATACACAACTGCAGTTTGGGATTACTTTTGGGTTGTTAAAACTGCCAAGACTTTTGAAAATGAATGAAGTATACATTTAGTCTGGAAAAGAGGTGGCTCAGGGGGGACTTTGTTGCTCTCTACAACTGCCTGAACAGAGGTTGGAGTGAGGAGGTGGCTGGTCTCCCCTCCCAAGTAACAAGTGATAAGAGGAAATGGCCTCAGGTTGTGCCAGGGGAGGTTTAGATTGGAGATTAGGAACAATTTCTTCACAGAGAGGGTGCTCAGGCATTGGAACAGGCTGCCCAAGGCAGTGGTGGGGTCACCATCCCTGGAAGTGTTCGCAAAGGGTGTAGATGAAGCCCTCAGTGATATGGTTTGGTGGTGGCCTTGGCAGTGCTGGCATAATCGTTGGACTTGATGATCTTGAAGGTCTTTTCCAACCTAGCTGATCCTGTGATTCTATAATGTACAATGTTACTGGATCACTCTGTGCTCATTAAATGCACATAGGAACCTACAGCACTCTGTCCATCCTGAAAGCTGAGTAGAAAAAGGTGCATCGCTTTTACAGTTGGCATATGGCCAGATATCTGTGCACAAGAGACCTATTAAATAGACCTCATGTTCTGATGGAAGTGTAGACTATTCTTAAAACTGCTTCCAAATTCTCATTGCCCTGTCCATTTATTGTGTATTTTATTCCATTGCCTCTTACGCAGTTTTATAACATTAAAGCTGTTGTTTATTCAGTATGTTTTAAAGAAAAAAACAAACAGTGAAATACCATAAACAGCTTTCTAAAAGAGTGACAAAAGGATCAGGAGGGGAAGGGGAGAGCTGCAAATGCAAGCTAGCACTTTGTACCTGACCTCTCACAGTTCATATTTAATGCAGCTTGGTTTTTGTATGAATTAGAGTCTTTTCTCCTTCATCTTCCAGATGAGACAAGCTGACAGAAATGTTGTAACAGCACTAACACACAGGCCTTGGCAACTGAGCCATTTTGGAGATGGGACACCCCGTTTCAGTTCCTCCTGGAAACATCACTTGTATATGATGCTGGATGTCATTCTAGATTGGAGCTTACACAGTTTCTTATGGCGATTGTGTGGGGTTTCAGCTCTCCTTGTACAGAAAAATTTTGTTTCTCAGTAAGTGTTAAGCTTCCTAACATACTGAGAGGTATTACCATTCTGTTAGTACAGAAGGCTGGAGTTAACATAGTACGTGCTAATCAATGTGTTCCGTTCAGTGTTGGGTAAGGTTATTTGAATAATTCCTTTACCCCAAGCTATTTTATTACTTTAAGCCTCTATCACTTTAATCTGTATTTTTATCTTATGCTTTATGTTTGAAGAGGGAGAAAATTGTTGCTTTTGTTGTTTACAGTAATAAAACACAAAAAGATGGCGTTGCAAAAGGATGCGCTGTCATTCTTGATGTGGTAACTGGTGTGAGACTAAAACTCAGCTGTAGCCTCAGCACTGTCTGCCTTAAATATGGTAGTGCCAGCCTTCCTCTTACGGTGTCCTTGTTCCTTGCAGAGACTACGTGAGGCACTGGTCTTCAAAAGGGATTCAGGTGGTTGCCTGGACAGTGAACACGTTTGCAGAGAAAAGCTACTACGAAAGTGTCCTTGAATCCAACTACATCACCGACAGCTTGGTGGAAGACTGTGAACCTCATTATTAGACCTGTGCTGCGCACACACCACCCGAAGTAAGCTCTCTTGCCTGGGCAGCGTGAACTCCCCATCAGGAGGGTACCCACTAGCACAGATGGGATCGCCAGCAGCGGTTCTGTACTTCTGCTCTGTGGTCAGACCTCAAATGCAATAACCTTCTGATGCAACACCAGGGAAAGACAAAGTACAGGAATATGCAGTCTGAGTAAATCACACTCTAACACAAAGGGATCCAGTTTGACAAGTGACCTGTTGCTTTATGGTTCTCAGACTCTTCCTTTGCTTTGTTCAGCTCTTGATTATGAAGCCAAATCGCAATTTTTGGTGGCAAGTTTTAAAGTAATATTTTTTTTTTTTTTTGTAATTTAAACAGTCTGTTCTACAGCTGTATAATAATTTGAGATTGATTTATGGTATCTTAAAAACATCTATATTACTGTTCTTAAAACAGAACCTGAAAATAATGGTGCCAGGTAGAGCATGCGTATGTTTCCCTCCTGCTGCACAGGAAGATGCCTATGCTGTGTTTTGACCTGGAAAAGCAAGCCAAATTTCAGTGTTCAGTGTGTAGACTGTGAGAATCAATGAATAAAACTTGAATAGCTGCCTATCTTCCACACTTTTTAAAGAACCAAGGGAGGATAGAAGGTTATTTCTTCTAATGACACAGAACATGAATGTATTTATTTAAAGAAAACTATGTATTGAATACTGGAAGCAATAGAACAAATGAGAGCTGAAATGTCTTTAACTTTCCTTATTGTTTGGATGATTGAAGGGCACACACAACGATATGTGGGAAACTGTAACCCAGGTTTAACTTGAAATCAAAAGTTACAATAAACAAGTAATCTGATAACTCACAGTTACGGTGTTCTTTATCAGCTGCATGGCAGCAGATTGATGTACGCTGTCAAAGCTAGCGCAGGTTGTGTGCTGTTCTGACATGTAAAAACCCCAGGTATTCCCATCAACATGCAGTGAACAATTTTGGCTCTGCTCTGGAAGGAGCTGGTGGTTAGAGAAGACTGTCAATGCTTAAAAGAGTAGTGTGGAGCCAGCCGTACCATAAGTTAGACTACCTTTTCTTCATGGCCAACACGTGGAGTTACTAAGTTTAATGATTTCATTTCAGGAGAATGTAATACTAATTTCAACGGAAATGAGGAATTTGAGCATTTAACGTGTCACAGGTTGCAGGCTATTCAGACACAGTCTCACAAGACACTGTTGGCTGCATGTAGCAATGTGCATATTTGACCAGGAAGTGTAACCACACTTGAGTAAGGTAGTTCCTTGTGCTGCTTCGATGGTGTTGAATTCAATGTTTCCCTGCTTAGGCACTGCTGTGTTTCAGGTGAGGTGCTGCACTGTGCACTGGGTGAGCACTTCACAAGGTGCTGGGGAAAACTGCCTTTCCCAGAAATGGAACAGCAGACTGGGGGTGCAGCTGGGTACTGTACTTTGGATATAAATGCTCTTGAGAGCCTGCCTCATGGTTAGAATTGTTTCTCATTCACAGAGCCAACTGGGGCTCTTAAAAAAACTTCTATAAACGATGGTTTGCCTACAAAAGAGACAAAGTGTAATTAAAAAAAAAACAGTAAAAATCAGTCATTGGTAGAAAGAACTACACAATTGTCCCAGTTAAGGTAAGTCCAAACCTATGAATTAGCAGCAGATTAATGCTGCCTTCTGCAAGGGGTGATGGATTTTTTTGCTTGTACCTTTAGCTATAGCTAAGCATGAAGAAACATAGGAGTAAGGAGCTGATTTTTAATGGCAGGATAAGACAAACCCTCTTCAGTTCATGTCCCTCATCTACCCTGCACTGCAGAACCACCACACCTCACCTCCTGGTGCACATCCTATCACACGTGTATGCTATGCTTGTGACCTCTACCTCTGCTGCTATGTTCTACAGGCACTCCCTGAGCAGCCGGCGGGAGGCCAAGTGCCCGTTGCTATACGAGTTGCTGGCACTGGAGTCATCGTCCTCAGTGCAAACACCAGGCCCATCTCACAGAATAGGTGGGGTTGGAAAGGACCTTAAGTTCATCAGTAGTCACAACCAGATTCCAGAGCTCTGCATGCAGAAAAACATATTAAATACAACTGAACCTCTGGTCTCACATTGTATATAAAGTTCATCCTTTTCTTCTGTACCTTTGGTGGCTGTTTCTGGATCCTTTCACCAAATTACAAGCACGACAGCAAGATGTGCCTCTTCCCTAAGGCATTTTTATGTCTAAAGCAGTGAGAGAGGAATAAACCAGGAAGTAGTAGAAAATGGGCTAAAAAAAACAAAAAATTATCACCAGGGCAAAGTTGTGCCTCTGAATACAAAGAAGCTGCATTGAGTGTCTCAAAGTCATACATGATAAAGAAAATCTCACCTGTGTTACTTCCAATCTACCCTTTACAGGAAAGGATGTATAAACTTCTTGTTTACAAGCAGTGGTTTTACACATGAGACTTTTGGTGAGTAATCACTCTTTAAAAAAAAGGGTTTGATAGCTTCTAATGTCTGTAATAAGCTATAACAATGGCTCAGAAAAGTGCAAATGGAATAGAAACTTAAAGTGGTTCACACAAATTATTTTGCAGCCATTCCAATGTCTTCAGCGTTAAAAACAACTGCACTTTAATTTCCTTCTATTTTTATTTGGCCAATGCATTGCTTTTGGTTTAGATTAGATAAAAGCAGTTTGAACAATATAACTGTTATAAAAATAGTTTTGGAACAAAGCTTTATTTACAATAAGGCACAAGTTTCCTGTCTTTAGTCAAGAGCAAGTGACTGCTGTGGAGGGATCTTTACAGTGTCAGGGTGTGAGCCAGTCCTGGAGAAGGCTGTCAGCACAGTATCCCTACTTCAAAACCAAACCAAACACACAGGATATTCCCCATCACAATAATAAACTCCAGTCAGAATGCATTTTTCTATTTGTTCTCTTATCTTTTTCTTCTATTTAAGGGTAAAAAAGGAGGTGCCAATGGTTCACAGTCCTTATAGTGCAATCGATCACTGCTTTCTGCAGAACACCACTCACTGTACATTCATTATTGATTCTGCTGGCTCGCAGTCAAGGATAGGTGTCATCATCTTCGTATTCCCACCGAGCTGCTTCTCTGGCCCGCAGAGAGATCACCACTGCCTCTGACATGCAGGACCCACTGCTGCGTGGGCTTCCCTCCAGCCCTGCTTGTCACAGGGGAAGTAACATTAACTGTGCTGTTGTCACTATGCTAACCACCCCCACTGAAGTGCCGCATGCTTTTGAAGTGTCTCATCTGCCCCATATTTGGAACGCAGTTACATATTTGTGTAAACCAGGAATAGTTCAACCTACCACACTAAGTTTCCATAGTTTTTTTATGTTCTGGACATACCGTGTCCTAGGGACTCTACATCATTAATAGCCTCTGATGAGGTTCACACCAAGATATAAAACATCTCTCTAATGTGATGTAATATTCTTGCTTGTGGCTGCTCCCATAAAACAAAACATCTCATTTACCCAAAGAAATTCAACTCTCTGGCATACAGAAGCTTGTGATCAGTCTTCAGAAGTCACCACCAACACCGCAACAAGCACACCCTATAGGAAATGTTTACCCCAAACCCCTGGTCTTTTTGTTTTCTCTTCAGACAAGATGCTAAATCCTGCCTCTCTTACATCTGTTATGAGCAGTGTCTGTATTGTAACAAACACTTTTACTGAGCTGAGCTTCTACAAGCTGTTTTCTGTGTTCAGCATTTGTTGCTTACCTTGTGGGAAGCCAGTCCCCCTTAAGATCCCAGCAGCATAGGGATACTGAAAACAAAATTCACAGGGAGATTGAGGTTGATGTTTCCTTTATGTGCCATTTATCTTATACTTCAAGATACTGGTTACCTATAACACAACCAAACTCTCTAGATCTTAAGCAGACTTGTACAAGTATTCCAACAGCTATTCTGATTAATTGCTCAAATTAATCTTTAAAATTACTTCTATGCATACAGGATGACCTCTTTGTTCAACATGCACCCCTTGTCTCCACCTTGCCCCAGGCTCTATATAGGGAAATCTAGCAGAGATTTCTGCTTTCGACCATCTCACCTCGTTGTAGGAAGCATTTTGTTTTCTGTCAAATGCCCTTCCTGGGTAGCCTGGCACTTGCTGGGCAGGCTGCCAGGATGGGTGGTATGAAGAAGAGCTTCTCTGAAAGACAGAATAGCTGCATTAGTGGTACTATGGTCTGGCTTCCAGTCCTGACTTTACAGCCACCCAAGCCTATGCCCCTTGTTCTAGGGAGGCGGCTCTTCTATCAGAACCACAATAAGATTATTCTGGCATCTCCTTTTGAAATCTGACCTTAATTAGTACAAGGACATCCATATTTTGTAGCAAACCCTGCCCTCAGGGTCCCAGGTGGGACTCCGGATGCAGCCACAGGGTTGTCAAGTGTTTGAAAATCCCCAGCAGACAGAAGATGCCCATTCACTTTACAGTCCCCTCTTTACAGTCAATATTTATTTATATTTGTTTATATTAGCACATATGTATTGCTGTTTATCAATATATCAATACCAATTATTACCAAAGTTTATTTACCTTTATTTGTATCATCACATTAATGACAGCCAGTCATACCAGGCGATATGTTTTATGGGGAGAAAGGAGAGGAACTGAACAAACCCTTTTTCTTCAGCAGTATGTAGGGTCAAAGAGTGTTTCACTCAACCCAAATGAAAACCACACTCCACAGCACCTAAATGTGCATGTTTTAACACTAACTTGATGGCTCAGCGGGCAGGACTGACTTGAAAAATAAGTTCAAGCTTAAGAAATTAGGCTCCTATTATGATGTCATATGGGATTTAAAATGGGGTTAGGTCAAAGCACTCAGGTTTACCTCAGCTGAAAAGGTTGGGTGGAGGAGCAAACCATGAAACCCTAAGGAAATAGAGTCAGGGAAGGAAGGCAGCTTCCTTCTCAGTTTAGGCAAGGTTCAAGTGGGGCCAAGCCCTTCAGTGACCATCACTGCACTCCTAGATGAGGAGTGCTTTCTTGCAGTTTCACAATCATAAACAATGTCTAGTGAGGGTAAGAACTTCTCTATATTCTTCCCATGCTGAATTCTAGTCTGGAACACATAGTTAGGCAACTTCCATGGTATCCTCTTCCTGCCTGGAGTTAATTAGCCGTCAATCAACTTACATGAAACTTCAAAACCAGACATATCCCAGCATGCCAGCCTGTTTGCAAGGCTAGAGGAACCCCATGAAACTGCACCAAGCACATAACTGAGATGGTATCTAAACTATCAGACTGACCTGCTGGCCTTGTCCTCCTGGTGCAGGTGGGGTTTGCTTTGCCATTTGCAGTGCCCGTAGTTTTTCAAGTAAAAACACTTTATCTTTTCCTCCCTATGGTCAAGACGCATTTGATCATTAGCTCAAGGCCTGTAAGCAACCACTGACCACAATAATCATTACAATTCCTTTTATGCTAAAGTAATCCATCTACAGAAGGAGCTACAGCAGCACAGCTTGAGGGTAAAATCATTCTGCAACAACTCTGAGTTTCCCTGCAGCTCCCATGGCGGAAGGCTCCCACCCCCCTTGCCCTCTCAAAGGAAAAGCAGATCACAGCTCCACAATAGCACTGATTGTGCCATGAGACAATCAACAAGGAAGCCAAGTTTTTTTAAACAGATAAAGCTGAAAGTCAAACTTACATTAATAATTTGCTTTTGTAAGTGTTTGATCATGATCTTTCTTCCTTCTATTATTTGCCAGTAAAGATAAACAATAACTCTAAAAAATAAAAAATAATATTAAAAAAAAGTCCAGCATATGAGCACTCCCACCCATGAGTATTCCCTCCTAGTCATTGCCTAAACAGAATGTTATCTGTTACAAGATGCACACAAGCACACACATATATAGCCCCTGCCCATGGCAGGAAGGTTGGAACTAGACGATCTTTAAGGTCCCTTCCAACCCAGACCATTCTATGATTCTGTTATCTATAGATACACACACATATATACACATATACATATATATACACATACACACACATGTATTAAAAAATAGATGTATACAATTACATTTACACAAGGAATGGCAAACACATGAAGTTGTTTAAAACATTCTCTTGGAAAAGACTCAAAGATTTGTGGACCTGTGTTTGAATGAAAGGTACAATTAAAGTAAGACAAAAAATACAAGGTGCATTTCAGATAACAAATAGGAGCCTAATGCTCTTATCCAACTTTTTGTCACTTGCTTACATATATGCCTGGTCTAAATCACAACACTGAACACCTACTGCTTCCAGGTCAGTCTTGGTCCCACCAGAATGAGTGAGATCTGGTTTCATCAGGACAGGTTTGGGTTCTTCAGTGTGTGTGGCCTATACCAGAAATACCAGGCAGCACAGCTACACCATCAAACCTACATACTGGGTTTGCCAAAATAATATACTTCAGCCAAGTGGACAGTATGTGAATTTACCAGAGATTAGCTGGAAGCAGACTGCAACCTACTTAATAGCATTTCCCTATGTAGTGTGTTCACTTGAACACACTGTTTGTGCACTACTATGCCCTTCCACCACAGTGTGCCTCTGGTATTTCAGCTATCCTTTACATGCTATCATCTCCTCTTATGACTCCATTGATGAGAAATGGTCAGAAAAGTCAAAGCAACCACCTCCCAGACTTCTGCTTTTTATGTTGCTCAGAGTCCTAGTATACATTTGACCTGTACTGGCTGTGCTTGTGAAAGCTGGCTTTTCCCTGCTGATTTATGACGCAATGAGGAAGGAAGAAACTAAAAAAGCAATGGTGAAAAAAAAAACAGAAATGCAATCTATGCTGCCAAGTGTATGCAGCGTGTTTCTCTTCACTGATGTTCCTGAGGCAAAGTGTGCCACTGGTAATAAGATCTGCCTAGGCACAGTAAACAAGAAATACTCAGTTAAAAGCAGTGTATCCTAGGGTTAGCATGAAGTTGGTTTGTAAAGAGCTTTGTCACCCCAACACAAAAGGAATAGGTTTTATAACTTCTTTATGTACTTCAAATACATGAATTTCCAATATATTAACCATTTCTGATACTTTAAAAATGACCTTGCAATTATTTTAACGAAGAATGGCTGTGTCAGAGGCAGTTTTTTCCACTTCAGGTCCTTTTCCAGTGCTTTCAATTTACAGGTACTTACAGGATAGAAACGGATAGGACGAAGAAGAAAATTTCACTTGTAATTAAGTTATGGTAGATCCACACTACCCATTTTGAAGCAGTGTAATTTTCCAGTATTGCTACCCACTCGGAGACTGCAGCATACATAGAAGACAAACCTCTGAAAGGACCACATTCATTTGAAGGTTTTAACCTGAAAGTGTGAGAAAACAGCTACTTAAAGCTTTATATGTTGACCAGTGATTTAGTTAACATTGTGATTTTGTGCATTAAGATGTTCATTAGTTTGCTACAGCCCACTGCTCTCTTTGGACCGCCCAGGAATTTCCATGATCTCTGTTTGATTTTTCACTTGGGTCACTCTCCAGCCATTGAAATGCCCACCCCAGACTACGCAGTGAAAGATAAGAGACCCTGCTGCTCTGGACAGGTACCAAGCCCTTGACATAAATGCAACAAGTTGATCAGTAGTACAAGCTACAGCTAATAGAAAACCCAGATTGTCAAAGTTTCACCCACATCATTTCACCTTGCCTTTGAAGATATCAGTCACTACAGATTTTCAGTAACAACAGGATGTGTTGAAGTAAGGCAGCCTATAGCAAGAATTAACATTTTCAGGTAGACTGAAATAGGAAAGTATTGTTTGCTTTGAAACTCAACTGCTGCAGACAGCCTGAAATTCTGACCTGCAATCTGGAAACGTTTGCTCTGAAGTACTGCATCCCACCTGGTTTCATGTGTAGTCACCTGCCTTACTAAGCATCACAACCATGTGGCTGAGAATTGCCAGGCAAAAGAAAAGGGGTAGCCATGCTGCCCTCCTTACTGTGGCCAGTGATGTGCAGGTAAACAAAGCAGCTTTAAACTCCTGGTAACAACCAAGATGCATTATTGCAGAGGTCAGCACCTACTGCAAAAAGAGTCCCTGAAGTTCATAAATAATCCAGACGTTTACCTCAATTGAGTTTTTCCAGCTACTTTTCCACTGCAGACCCAGTATGGCCTATAACATGAATAAGCTCAGGACCTAGGACTAAGTCACCGAAACCTTTATGGAGGAGGAAAAGCCAAATTTGCTGCGCCATTTAAATAAAACCCAAAACTTCAATGTAACCTTGTTTCTCCTCCTACTTTCTTACGTGTTAACCATATTCTTGCAAACTCACTGAGCATGCCTTGTTTTCAGACTGCAGAACAGCTCACGAACATCTGAAACCTTCCATTAGCAACTAATACAGCTTTATCAACAGAAAACCACAAGTTATTCTGTGTTGTATCAGGTCACACAGCATAGCATAGCAGGCTTGAATGCCAGTGATCTTTCACACCTCCAGACAGTGACTCCAATGACAGACAGAACTCCAAGGAAGGAAGGGAAAAACAGCAGGAACATGAAGGTTGTTGTCATTTGAGCAGTTCTCCAGACTTTGCGAGGGGGTTGGCAATTCATCATTAGACTGACCTTTAAAGAGATGAAGACACACTGACTGTTGGAATGGTGTTACCTGCCACGGCAACTCAGTTTAAGTCAATCCCATTGAAATTGCTGGCAGCAGTTTCTGGAATAGCATGCGTCAAGTTTCCAATACCTTCTTTTATAAGACTATGACAGATAAACTGTAGAAAATGTCAAGAATATCATCTTTAAGTAGTAAGAGACAAAACAATGGGTTCTTCAGGACTCTGCTGGGCAGAGTTTGCTTTTGTAGCATATGTAAACCCATAGTTTAGGGAACATGAGTTTTGACAGCAACATGGTCAAAGGAAGTGATCCTGCCCCTCTAGTCTGCTCTCATAAGACCCCACTTGGAATACTGTGTACACTTCTGGTGACCTCAGTGCATGAAGGACATGGAGCTGTCGGGATCAGTCCAGAGGAGGCCACGAGGGATAATAAGGGGGCTGGAGCACCTCCCTTATGAAAACAGGCTGAGAAAGTTGGGGCTGTTCAGCCTAGAGAAGAGAAGGCTGCATGGAGACCTCATAGCAGCCTTCCAGTATCTGAAGGGGGGTACAAGGATGCTTGGGAGGGACTTTTCATTAGGGACTGATAGGACAAGGGGTAACGGGTTAAAACTTAAACAGGGGAAGTTTAGGTTGGATATAAGGAAGAAGTTCTTTACTGTGAGGGTGGTGAAGCACTGGCACAGGTTGCCCAAAGAAGTGGCAAATGCTCCATCCCTGGTGGTGTTCAAGGCCAGGTTGGACAGAGCCTTGGGCAATATGGTCTAGTGTGAGGTGTCCCTGCCTATGGAAGGGGAGTTGGAACTAGGTGATCTTAAGGTCCTTTCCAACCCAAACCATTCTATGTTTCTCTGAATTTTGAACCACCCTTTCTAGCTATAGCTATGTGTGACACTATCAACTGTTTGGTGACTCAACAACTGATCTATCATCTGGTCATACTACTGAGACAAAGAATTCTGAAAAGAAACAATTTCCATTATGATGCTTGGTTGAACCACTCTGCTTATGCTTAGATAACTTGGGAGGCCATCAGTGGGAAGTAGGAACATAAGCAGGAAGCCAAAATGACAGCCACAGGCTAAGTGTCTATATTGACATACGCACTTGCACATTATTAATTCTTGAGCCTTTAGTTTTACTTTATTTTCTCCCCTTTCTCTCTGAGCTCTTAACCCCTCCTATAACCCTTCCAATAACCCCTCCTTAACCCTTCCACACTTTTCCCCTCTCCCAAGTTTTACAAGTTTGTAATTCAAGGGCCTGAATCTAAATTGTGTTCCTTTAAAGCAAACTCCACCCTCCAAAACCCAGCCAAAAAACCTGCTCCCCTAAATACAAGACCCCAGAGCCTCCAGTCAAAACCAGCACTTTAACACTATACATTCTGCCCGGATTTCAAACTGTGTCAGTTTATGATGAATACATGTAAATCTTGTTACCTTTTTCACACAAAATACTATAGAAAATGATATTATCTGGATACCGGGCATCAGAGGTGAGAAGAGGATACCAATCCTACAAGAAAGGATTTATAAGAAAGTTAAATCTTCACTATTCACCACCCAGCTCTCAGTGCACTGAAAGCAGAAAATATCACAGTAAATTAATATACAGTTAGAGTTTGGTTATTTGGAAATTTAATCATTAATAGTATTGTTATTAACACTGATCCTGTAACAGAAGTCAGCCTTTAAAAATACGCAACTTCAAAATACATGTCTATGTACGTGCCTGCAAAACTCTCTTGTAATAGGAGTAACATACTCATTCCTAGAAATAAGGCATCTTTTCCAGGGTTTAATACTGAGACTATTTCAACAGGAACACCATTCCAATGGGGAAGTAAACAAAACTAGGGTGTCCCCTTTATGGGTTTCTCTAAGACCAGTGACTGCAGGGTAAACTATTGGGTAAAGCTATTGGTAATACCTGCACTATTACAAGAGAACTGGCATGTCACAATCCTTACAAAGATAGTTAATGTCATCTCCCTCAGCATGTATCCTGCTCTTTCCCCCATGATGGGAAGCATCCAGAAGTGTCAGAGTAAGAATGTTCCATGGTATTTCTAAGTGCAAATGAGGTTTTGGCTGTAAATGTAACACTTACCAGGTCAAAGTCTGTGCATAGATCAAATCTAAAACATTTCGTCCTATATCAAACTCTGGCAGCCCCAGGCTCACACAAACTGTAGTTCCAATAATTCTGGAAGAAGAAACCAGCACCACAGCATAATAGCATTTACTACATCATAAAACATCATAAAACCCTGCATAAAAATCTGCAGAACGCCTCCTGAATGCAAGCATCAAGGACAAATTATTTAGGGGCTGCATTAATCACATCATGCAAAGCAGCCACAGCTTACTGATAAAACAGCTCATTAAAAATGAAACAGAATTGGGGAAAATCAGTTTCCCATAACATACAGCAGGGTTGGAACATGACCTAGGGTATTGTTCAAGCAACTCAAAAAAAAAAAAAAGGAAAAAAGAAAAAAAAAAGGATTGTCAAGTGTATCAGAAAGGTATGCTCATGCTTAAACAGTTCAAATGGCAAGTTGCCTCAGTACAAAATTGCAGCAGCTTTTCAATTGCTGAGTCCTCAGAATTTTCAGCCTCAACCAGTCAAAAAAAATGCATCTTTTAGATTGATACTCATCGTATATCCTACTTCACACTAACTGAGGTTGCAAGCAGCTGAGGCATACACAGATAAGCAAGTACTCAGAGATTTCCTACTGAGGACCAACCATCCATTTTTACCATCTATTTTTTTCCTGTGCTGGGGAGATTCAATTTCTGCTTGTTGTAGCAAGAACAATAAAGATTTTGGTAGCTATCCCATCTCTCCCTGAATACAGGTCTTGCTGGCCTTATCAGCTGCATCATAAATACAAGCAATTGTACTTCTAATCTTTCACAGCTGTAAGTCTGGTGCTTTTGCACAGCTCAGTGAGGACATTCATCACAGCTGACACTGCAGTTTTGGTACTGTGGCTGTTTGCTGGAAGGTGGTTTCCTATCTGAACAGAACAAAGACAGGAGTAGGATTAAAGTTCGCTGGCAAGAGCTGTGGAGGGAAAGTCTTCAAGGGTTTCTCAATGTTGTTTTGTGTTAACATGAAGTTTTTAACTAAGTATTCTACCTTGTTCACGTCATGTGCGAAGGGCAAACAATGCATCTCCTACGCAAGTATGGCCACAAACTCAAAATGCTCATAAAGCTGGCAAACACTCAAATACTTTACTACCTTAAGTCAGAAATAATGTTTGGCAACAGAAGGGTATAAGCAGCAGATGTCAGATGTAAATTACTTCTTGGTTACAAAGCTTAGCTGTATTCATGTTCGGTTAACAATACTTTCTCATTTACCATGCTACAGACCTCTACACTCAAGAGTCACACTTCATCCTTAATAAGACTGATTAAAATAAGATTGTTAACTTGTGTGCACTCTATAGAGTAACATAACTAAGAGGAAAAAAATTACAGGAGGATAAACTAAAGAAAGCCAGCAGTGTGTTCATGCATATGCAGAAAACAAGTTTTTCTGCTTGAGGTGTTGGCTCTTTGTCACCCCATTCAGGAGATGCATGGGAGTACAATGCAGCATCCTCCCTGCCTGTGTTTCCACCCCCAAAAAAAAAAGGACACATTAGGAAAGTTTAACGGTATACACTCTGACCTCCTCCTAAGAAGGAGCTGAAACACACAGAAGACAAGTATCAGAGGCTATGCCTGGTAGAGGCAGCCAAGGAAGTTTCATGCTTCTGTTAGACTGTGTTTCTCATACTGGAAAAAAAGACCATGCCTTTGGTTAATGAATGAAAACAAGATTAGAAAAGCAGTACTCACCTTTGTAAAAACTCTCCAAAGAAAGAGCCAAGCAAACAAAACATGAAGTCAACTACAATAAGACGATAGATATCTTGGCCAACCAGAGTTTCCCAGCACTTTCAGAAGAAGGAGGAAAGAAAAAAAGAACATTAAAAATGCTTATCTAGAAGTCAAAGATCATGTGATTTTAACATTGTTCCCAAATGCTTGGGCATATGGGACTCAAGCTACAGACCAAAGATTTGCTAACAGCCTGACCCATCCTAGTTGACCTCTCACTGAAAAATGCTCCAAAACAACTGAGATGTGAGTTGGGAGACTCCTTTCTTCCTACAGTTAACTTCTCTAGAGATGATGAGTAAAAAAATGTTGGGGTGGCAAATTCAGCTTCCCCAGACACTACATGCACTTCTCTTTGCTGGATTAAGTCTCTTACAAAAGTGGTTCCTAACCTGGCATTGTAAATCAAAGATTTGTATTTCTGAAACTTTACCTGTGACTCTGATGCAGCCACAATGTTAAGCCAGTAGTAGCACAGAATTCCAACAATTGATATTTTCAGGATGATACTTCTGAAAAGAGAAAGTAACAGTAACTGCACTGACAGCTGGTCCATAAACTCACTGGAGAGAATGATGGCAGGATGATCATTGGTTACACTCTATTACCTTCTCTTATAACAACAATAGCACTGCAGAGTGCCAGGACCAACAGGAACTCTCCTCAAAGCTGAAGCACAGCATTATTCTATTGTCTTGGTGGAAAACGAACTGGGCATGACAACCTCGGCACAGCCTCTGCAAAAGGGGCTGCTGGTTGGGTGTGTGGGCTCCACAGGGGAGGAAGGTCTGAGGAGCACCAGCAGTTACACACTGTTAATTTCAGGCACCTGTATTTAAGTAAGATCTCATCACTCCTTTTTCCCCTTTCTTTCCCTGGTGTACAGAGCTCTTTGGAGAAGATGAATTCTCCTCCATAGCTCCTTACTGCCCACCACATCATCTACACATAGATTGCTATCAAAAAAGAAGAGTCAGGCAACTTCAGGCAAAAAGCACTAAGAGGCGGTAGCAACAAATACCTGGCAATAGTGACATATATATGCTGTCCAGGAGTCTGAAATCTTTCCAGACGTCCAAGCCATGAGTAGAAGAACGGGATGAATGCATTGAGGACAGATGTGACAACAGGTAGCACCAACATGGCAGCTTGGCTCTCTAGGTCATTCCTGTGCCCTTTCACAAATAGCTTAGAGGCAAAAAACAAAACAAAACTTAAGAGCCTTAACCAAAAGAGTACATCAAGTTGTGTCCACAGGGAAGACTCCTGGCGCATGTCCCTGCATGATTGCGAGTTAGAGATTATCATGGTTTATGGGCCCATGTCCAGCAGCACAGAGACCTTCTCCCCTTCCCCCATTTTACATGGGACCAAGGGTGGGAGCCCCAAATTAAACGCAGCTCCTTGGCAAAGGAGAGGCAGGCCTTGATGAGGCTGCTTCTTGCTATTTCTTTCAAGGTATCTCCCTAAGGTAGCCATGAACCCAAGAAAGCAGCTGTCAGGTGATGGGGGAGAACAGACCAGTGCTTGCACTCAGTGTAAGATACCCATGTCCAAAACCAGACTGTAAAATCTGTCCTTACCTTCAGGTTATTAGTGGAGAGGAAGTAAACACCAGCACAAGCAGCTACTGCTGTTCCCAGAGAAGTGACCCACGAAGCAAAATGAATAGCAATGCAAACAACTCTCTCTGTTACAGAAAAACTTAGAACTTCCCGGTTTACTTCAGAGAGGTCTTCCTGCAAGGAAAAAATTCTTAATGAAGAATTCCTTAGTCAACAGCATAAAGCAAAACTTGCTTCAAGTAACTACTTGAGAGACTGAATGAAAGATTATTTCTCCAGAAGATGGGCAGAGTAATACCCTGGGGACATTTAGTAGGCAACATTGTGTTCCTATCCTAAAAATCTCTTCTCTTGACAGTTACCCTGTATTTCACAGATATTACTAGTGTGCCTTTTGTTTACAACATGGTTAAATAGCAGGAAGGAAAACCAGAATACTCTGTCCAGCAAATATTTAATAGTCACAGAGTCACATTCATTCAATAGAACAGAAGCATACAAATATTTATATGTAGCTTAAAGAGAAAAGAAAAGCAAGTAGCTAAGACAACTCCAGGAGTACAAATCAAATGAAACTTAACAGTCAAGAAACCTTAAATCTATGAACAACAGGGCCAGCAAGTTTGAGTCCCTCTGCCAGAGACTTCCATGTGCGTACACAAATTTCTATGCAGAAACAAGCCTCTGGCAGAGTGATTTGTGCATGTGAGTTTTGTACCTTTCTACCTTTTTGTACCTCCTGTGCTTTGTACCTTTATTTGTGTGCTGAGATTCTTTTGTTTCAGCTTCACAGCTTTTTCATTCGTGATATTGAACTCCCAAGTGCAGAGAAGTTTGCTAGCATTTCCAGGGAATGCCTGAGGGTTAATGAAGTTCCTGCAGAAGGACTTTGCCATGCTGCAATGAAAACTGAGTTTGTGAGATGCATAATGGGGAAATACATAAATCTGCACAGCAGGGCAAGAAGGGAGATTCATCAGCTTTTCTGTCCCACCCCAAGGCTGCTGCACCTATGTCAGAGCACGTCACACAAGACAAAACAGAAAATAAATGTTCATGTAAGAAACAACTCTGACATTTCCTTCTGATCATGGCTGACAATCTTTACCTTTGGAAGGTCACATCAGTACCAGGAGATATTAGGAGCAACAGCTTCCAAAAGGGGTATCATGATATTCATTGGCTTGAACTGGGATTCTCTCCATGTCCCTTACTATGTCACAGTTATTCTTTGTTTGTCTAAAACAAGATTTGATTTCTAGAGATTGTCTTTTGAGCAGAAACTTCTACTTAAACTCTACACCTGGAAATAAGGACTTACAGAAACACTCCAGTAATTGTAATTGCCAATGACCTCAATATAAGTGAAACAAGAACATATAATTACTTTACCTGAACAACAAGATAAGAAAACAGATGACAAAATATATTCCAACAGTGAAAATATAGGCCAGCTGCATGTTGTAAGATGGACCATTCTTTATTTTACTGATTGTAGCATTGGTGTAAAAGCCATAGTAGAGTACTGTTTGTTGAAAATAACCCTGAAAAGACATGGACATCATTCAGAATGTTTGCTATCACCTGTATATGGTTAGAAGTACCATCATCTGAAGCCCAGTTACTGGAAGTGGGAACCTTCCCATTCCCTACATGAAACCAGAGGTGTGAATAAATTTCTAAATATCAGGCCCTTTGTTTCTTTCTATCAGCTAAAATATTCCATAGACTTGAGAGCTTCTAGATATATGTAAATAACTCATGTCCTTCTGAAGATGCACACTGTATGATCATGAGCATTCAATGTCTTTGCAGGACCTGCTCTTTTCTGAAAATTCCTAAAGAGGGAAAGGTTTAATTGCTTCCTTCTTGGGATCAAGGTTCTGTACTGACAAATTGCATTGACTATAAAGGAATCAGATGACATTTAACACTAGAGCTATTAGATTATAGCTGAACTCCTGCGGTAATGACTGTACTTTGCAAAACAGCACTACCACAAAACATCGCAATTTAAAGGTAATTTAAGAAGGAAAAAGCTGACACCATTCCTCTTTAAAAAGACCTCTCAACTAAGCATTAGTAAGAGCAGGCTCTTGTTTATTAACTAGAGAAATCATTTAACAACAGTAAAAATAACACACTTTTTACAGTAAAGACATAAAAAAAATCCCTTCTCAGATGACTTAGTTGATGAATACCAGTAGAGTTAAAGCAGTGTGAAAACTTCCCTTAAAAACAGCCTGGGACTTTATTCCCTGAAAGTAAAGATATCCACACAATGGAAGGCCCTTCTGTCTCCAGGCCCCACTGAATTCAGCAGGTTGCCACAGAAAGAGCTGTGTGCTCCTTGGAAGAACACAGCTTTGGAAATTTCACAGGATCACATATGGAAATTTGCACTGCATTTTCAGAGGAAAATCAGCATGGGAAAAATGTCCTGCTGAAGACCACTGCAGCTATCGCCGACTTCCTTTCTGTCTCTGCCACTGCTTTCTCAAAGAGTGATGAAAGCCTTGAAATACTGCTGAACACAGCAATTTTTTACAGTGAGACAAGTGCATCAGGACAAGTTCCATTCATCTCACTCTGTTGTTTCTAGTGTCTAGAATATTGTTTCTAGTCATAAAATTCTAACTCCATAACAAGAGATACTAAGTTTTTTACTCTACTGTGAGTTTTTAAAGTAGATCTGTTGCACACAGTACTAACACAAATCTGCTGTTACATACTTACAGCTCCAGTGAGCAGCTCCAGACCCGTGAATGAAAGGTTATTTGGTTCTGCTGCAAGAAACTGAGGAATTGTGAGGAAACTGAAGTTTATGAGGAATGAGAAGATGTTGAAAGTTAGCAGCCACTTCAAGAAAATAAAATAAGAAAGAACACTTGTTCCAAACTTGGCACCAATGACCTTCAGAGTCTTCTGCTGTAACTGCAGTAGGTGAAAATATTCTGACAAGCTATTTCCAAGTCGCCGAAATGACTGAAGTGCGAAAGAGGAGAGAGATCAATCTCAGCAAGCAGCCTTGAACAGGATTCTCATTCACATAATGAAGCTTCACATTCTTCACAGTTCCATCTTAACATAAGAACAAATTTCCCCCACCACCTGCACTGTAAGATGCCCAACTCTTGTTCCTAAGTGCTACCATAATGCACGTAGCTATTAGCGAAGACTGCAGCAATTAACCAGTTCTTTGGTAAATAACATAAATTTATATAAAACATAAAGCCAGACACCAGGTACCTCTGCAGACAGTGATAACATTGCAGCTATTGTGGCTTGCAGGAGTTTGACACTTACCACTGCTATTCCCTGCATACACTGTGTGCAGGAGCAAAGTTGAGTGCTGCAATGCCTTGATTTTTTTTTTGTTATTTCTTCAAGAACTTTATTCCTGTGGAAAAGAAGGGCAGGGGATGACAATGGTATGGGTTGTAATTACAACAAGATGACAAAGAAACTGCTGGAAATAGTGTTTCGTACACGTCCACATGAAGAAAGTTAATATGGAGCTATTCTGCTAGTTCTTTTTCTACTAGCTGACACCATGGCTCTTGTCCATGCTATGACAGCATATTCTAATCCCTCTACATATCACATATCACTCTGGGAACAAAACTTCAATATATTCTGTGAGGACACAAAAGGATGGTTGAGAACATTCGCTCTCTTCTCCATTTTCAATGGCAACATTCAGTTTCCTTTGAAAAGAAATCATAAGTCAGCATTCATAATCAAATATCAAGGCCTTGATTTTTATATTAGCATGAGAGATTCTTCTCATCCAGAGAAAGGACAGTGAACCATCTTTAAATTATTTCCATTTGCAAGATGTTGACTTTTTTAAAGTGTATTAAAAAATACTTTTGGTTCTTTCAAAGTGACAAACCAAAGCTGAGCATGTTGAAAGTACAATGTTTGTAAAACTAAACAGACATATTTTTATTTTTACCTGATCTCTCTCTTTTTTTTCATGGTCTCTGGCATCTTCTGGATTGCTTTAATCCTTTCACTGGTGGACATACTTGCAAGATTTTCAACTAAAGTTTCCTCTGCATAAAACCCATGAAAAAAATCCAAGTATTTGCAATAATAACACAGTAATAATTATACAAAATCTGAAGTGGATATGACAACACTTCCCATTGTCACTGCTACCAAAGTGTGGTATGTTCCGAGACTACTCCCCAAAAATATCCTCAGCTCCATCAGCACTTTAATACAGATACAGGTAATACAATATTGAAAGTTAAAACCAAATATCACTTGTCTGATGCTTGATTAGTATTCATACAAAGAGCTGAAATACAAAGGAGAACAAAAAACTGTCAAACTCCAAGATTCTGGTCTATTGCTTCATCAGTGTTTGATAGTGTCATTTCTATGATGCTATGTACTGGCTTGACAGCCAAACTTTTATTTATTCTAGAATTTTAGTTTATGTTTCTGCCCAAACTTTGCACTACCTATGAAACAGACAGAACTGTATTACTTGACAATCAGGCTGGTTTTGCATAGTTGGAATTTGAGGCTATTTCCAGACACACTGGCTGAAAACAACCCATTAGCTGGTCAAATAAATTCTAATAAAGAGATTAGCTTTTCTGTCTATGATTTAACACATTCAGACTGCACTGTGCTTCCTTTATCATGGGATTTTAATGTGATAGTAGAGTATAAAAGATGAATCACTAGCGTTAACACAAAACCAAGTTGTTTCCATAACCACAGAAAGACTGTACATGCAATTCAGGTGAATAAATCAGGAACAGTATCAACCACACCATCTTGTGCAAGATGCTATTTCAAATTGAACCCCTTACCTAAACTCCTACTTTCTTTCCACACTGGATTTGCTTCAAACACACTGGAAGAAGTCATGAAGATCTCATCATGTGGTCTTCTGTCGCGTCTCCGAATAAAGCTACCTAAATAACATGCGTTGGTCAGTAAGCCCAGATATACCTGACAAATTGACTTTAGAAATTTGAATTTTGAAACAACTTCAAAGCATACCCTTCAATCTCACTACCTGCATGCAAATATATACTCCCCCATTCACTTCTTTCCTGGTCGTGCTTGACAACCATGTGCAGTTTTTCAGATACATCTTGGAAGAGAGGTACGGAGCACAGCCTTCAGCTACATGGAAGACTGGATAACCAACTCATAAATGTGCACATTGATTGTTCAAAACTTTCTTCTAGAAGATAGGTCCTTTCTTTAAAAATCCTTACACTGACTCCAGAGGGATTGTTTTAGACTCACAATCATGCTGAATAAGTTATATGTATCAGATTCCCACTTCCCTGAAGCCAAAATGCAACTGTTCTTTCAACCTTCTTTCATGCAATTATCCAAACATTAGTGACTGTATTCCTTAAAAGCATCTGCCTTCCAGCTATGAAACAGATGAGTTTAGCCACAGCTTTCCTTGCCTTCTCAGTAAGCTAATGGCAAATCTGTGCAACACTACACCTCCCTTTTGAGGTCAACCCTCTGGTGTAGAAGGCTGCAACTGACTGATGCACCTGCTAGTTGATGCACATGATGCAGGCACCTGCACCATATTTACTATTTAGACCTAATGGTTCCTTAACGTTAGTGTCATTTACACTTGGAGACAACTTCCTTTGTAGCAACTAAAAAGAATCAGAAAAAGGAAAACATCTGCGCCTCCTCAGGTACTTCTTGAGCTTTCAGCACCCAGACATTTCTCCTCTAGTTACGGAAATGCACTCTCTTTCCTCTTTCCTACCAGGTATTAAAAGCCATATGTGATAGGTAATGTTTGGAAATGCCCTATCTCTATGGTCACTCACCGAGCAAGGCATTTCCAGGTTCCAGAAAAGAATTCTTAGTTACATTCCAAAAGCAGCAGACAAAAACTGAACTGATTGTAACAGAAGAATTACACAGTATGGTGAGAACAGTTCCTACCCAGAACACAAACAATAAATCACTACAGCACCCTAAATTAGAAGCCAGAATGTTCTATGCCAGACCCCTTATATTTTAAGGAGTATAAAACTCTAATAATAATAATTAGGGTCTAGAATTTACACAGAGACAACATAGTGAAAAAGCCACTAAAGAGTATCAAAAATGTGCCCTATCCTCCCCTTATTTCCTCCTATAGTAAGTCTCTTCAGATAACTCTAGGTTTGTTTTATGCTGATCCACTTTTAGGGAGTTTGGGTTAAAATGAGTAGGCATTACATCTTTCATTGCTCAGGAAAAAAAGATCATCACCTGCAGGAAGATACTGAAAAATTCAGCTACAACAATGTAGGATAGTAAAATAGAATTTCTGTTTTATGGTTCCTTTTATTACATGAATATTTTCATATCTGAACCAAAAGGCTTTTAAGTACTTATTATTTATTTTATGGAGGGGGAGACTAACATACAACATCTTGACACACCACAATCCTTGTATCTTACCTTCCGATTCATTGGAAATGCTGTGGGTATAGGGGCTATGGAATGGAGAAGGTGGGCTGTATGCCAGTTCAGACTCAGGCTCAAAGGAAAGATTATCTGTTGAATGGAATCAGAGTTATACAGAAAGTTGTATACTGATTTGGATTATTTACACACACAGGGTATCAGCCCCCTTGACCAAACTCCTACATCTCACTCCAGTGTATATCCTAGTTCTCAACAATTTATTCAGTCCACACAAGTCAGTATTTACTGATCTGTTAATACAACAGACAGTCCATGGATCTGTTAATGTAACACCTGAACTACTTCTAGGGGGGAAAAAAGGCACACACACACACACCCGCCAGCATCTACAAATACATAGAGTTGAGCTTTCCAGAGCTACAGGACTCCTTCAGGACATTACTGTTTCAGTGTTTCTGTAAGCTGTTCATACGAGAAATTACATACCTGTGGAATTTCCATATGGACTTCTTCTTAGGACATTAACTCGTGGTAAACCTTCACTGTATTCAGAGCCGTGTCTCATGGAGGCCATTGGTATGTCCAGAGGGTAATTCTGCCCTCTTCCACTGTGTTCTCTGTAGGAACCAGGTAGTGAAGAATCATAAGTGGCTTGGTAAGAGAACAGATTCTCTTGAGAATTCCTCCTGTGTGAACAATAAAAAAGAACACTCAAAGTGCCACAAAACCTCTCCATAGACATCCTTACTAATTGTCGCCTATTATCATCAAATTTGAGTACTTTATAAAGCAAACTCATACTGAGAGGTATTTTGTATTTAGAACTCTAACATCATTATTTTGATTTGGTCATTAACTGAATTAGAAAGACTGAAACTTTTCTTCACCTGAAGTAAGCTTGGATTGCACCTACACAGGAATAACTGCTTGGAAAAAATGAGGACATCCAGGGTTATAGCACACTGTGAAAATTACCGGAACTAAAAAGTTTCCATGGCATTGGACCATAAATACTAAGATACCTTGAACTGATAAATTCATCCAACAGGTAAAAAGCAGATGTGCTATTTCTCTTGAATACTGCCTTCCTAATAGCAGTTTTAAAAATCTGTGTCTGAGAATGCAAGCATAAAGGAGGCATTAAAAGAATCCCAAAACCTAAAATTCTGGAGAAGAAGCTTCTCCTGCATGTAAATAGATAATTTAATTGCTTATGGCACAATCGCAACAGCAAAATTAAACAAACTTACCTTCTATCAATTTCCAGTGTCTCTGACAAGTGGTAGTCTGGATTTTCAAAGGCTTCATTGTAATGATGAGACATGACAAGTCTTTGGGTGGAGAGATGAAATACTCCTTATTTTCGTCTCTACTGCTTCATTAATATGTTCATGGGAAGACTGATCACAGACCTAGCTCCAAAGCAGATGTATGCACATACAAAATGAAAAAAAAAGTTCCTTTCAGCATCTGCGTTAGGAAATTTTGCCACCCTGCTAACAAATTACAAATGAAACAGTACAAATCAGAAATGATTCTAACTTGGAGTTACTGTCACTAAATTGGGATCCAACAGAAGTAGCAGGTAAAATGGGAGCTAGTGCTTCTCTATAGTAAGCTCTCTACAAAACTAAGGAACAGGAGTGCCACAGTTTTCCCCAACACTAACAATGAAGCCAGGTTTTAGAAGCATGGTAAAACACTAACAAAAAGAATTTTCTGAAGATGAAAATTTTCTCCAAGTACTACATTTTCAAAACCAAAGAGGAGGTGAAGTCTGCCCACCTTCTTACCAGCAGTGGCATTTCTAAGCTTTAGTGTTGTGAACAAGGGACCCACCATAACACTGCTATGTACAGAGCTGGCATTATTTAGAGACCCCACTCTTAATGAGGGTTCTTCTAATGACTTCATGTCTTGATCCTGTAAATAAATTTGGTTTTAGCTTTATTTCTCACAGAGTGCTCCACTTTAATCTTAAGCAAACCAGACTTGGTCAGAGTTTAATGAACAGAAGTCCAGGTAAGTCAGTGAACAGGGAACATTATGCTAGAAAAACAAAGTCAAAATTAAACAGGAGTTTCTTGCAACTAATCCATCATACTCAAAATTAAAAAGGAAGCAAGCTTTAGCATTTGTTCTCAAACCACAGCAAGTTTGATCAGCTGGCAAGCTCTTCAACAGGGAAAGAAAAAAAAAATAAACAATAAAGGACAGGTCTGGAAGAATCCATCAGACCCTGCTTTTATCTCAGATCCACTCCTAGGAAAGCAGAGCTGAATCTCATTTAACAGTACAGTCTCAGCCAACTTCTCTGTCTGCAGTGGTTTTTATTTGTGATTTCTACTGCAGTAAAGGAAGTATCACATGAAGAGAAGAATCTTCAGAATGAGTAACTGCAGTGTCTAGTTTCTGAAGGCTTGTCAAAATCTTCTCATTTTTGCCAAAAGCAGCTCTGAAATTACTATTGTATTATTTACACACCTAAAGATCTTGGCAGTGTAAAATCTTGCAGAGTGACACAGCTGTAAAGCACTGCCCAGGTTTTGCACACTGATTTGCAAAGAGATTTGCACATAAACACAGGTGGTTGGTTGAATTTGAAGTCCTACATTTTAATGAGAACATTGCTTACACTTGCATTACAGCCTGATGAAGCATGCTATGAGGCCCACATCTTCAGCAAACATTCACTAAAAAGCATAGCAGGAAACCTGAATATATGGTACGCCACCCATCCCTTCTGTAAACAGTGGAATGTGATTACTGCCAACAAGAAACTAAAAACATAGTCTCCCCTAGGTGACATTTGTGTTTTTTTCAGGCCACTTCACACCCATAGAGACAGAGTGAGAGTCTCATGTATTCAGAAAAGTAATAGCAGAGCCTCCTCCTCTTCTCTAAAAGAAAACCAACAAGCACCCCAGGAATCTAAACCTCTTACACAGAAGTCACAGGAAGTTTAAATCTCCCAAGAGTAGGTTTTATTTGACAGGAACCACTTAACTCTTGATGATCTTTTGAGAACTAGCTTAGAATATACAAACTCTTCAGGAATTAGTGCATTCTGTCCTTATACTCCATTAAAAAGCATGGGAACAATTCTTGTAAAAGGTGATCGTGGAACTCTGCAAAGGCATGCTCGGAAAACTGAATTTCCCCCTGTAAAAGTGTTTTACATTTCAAACCGTAATGAAAAGCTCAAGAGGAGAAGATTACTCAGGGGAAGACAGTTCTCAGACAATTCCCTCTGAAGAGTGTGCAAAATGAATTTTTCTGGTTTTTAACTGGTTTTCTAGGAACCCAACTTACTTGGACTCAGCCATCCAGAAAGCTGGGAAGCCTGCCAGCAAGGCAGCTGGAAAGCTGAGCACTGATCTAAACAGCGCCTGGTCTTCATTCAAACTAGTTTGAATGAAGATAATGAAAGATAGTTTGATGGAAATGCATGGGTTGTGTAGAATCAGCATTATGATGAAGCAAGCTGGTAGGAAGCATCAGACAATTCTATCAACCAAATTCCTAAAGCACAACCAATCAGAAGAAGGTCAACCTGGTTAAAAAACATATCCATCACTTCTTTCTCTTGCTCATTTTAAAGATCTTTAAGCGTATCCGTGAAGTCTGGCTAGGACACCCAAATAAGCCTGAGACAGACTGTCTATTGATTCCATTATTATCCACTTTATTTCCTTTGTCTTAAGAAGCACTTCATGCCAGGATTACTATGAAAATCCACAGGCACATCTACCATCTAACACTGAACCCAGCATCTGAAGCCACTCTGTTTTTCTCTCCACCCATGATATTTTAGGCATTTTAAATAAATTCAAGCTCAAGGCATTTGCAGCATGCAAGGAAACATGAATGCACATAACCCATAGGTTTCTTGACTGCGGCTGTAGTCACTCAGAGGTTACTATGCCACCTGGAGGGTGGGATGAAAGTGTGTATGAGCAGACATGCTCCGGGTGCACAGGGGGCATGCCAAACATGTACAGATTATGACAATCTACCCACTTCCTCCACCCCAGGCCCAAAGATTATGAGAAAGTCGTCTTCTCAAATCAGATATCTACATTATAGGTTTAGTTTGGGGTTTTATGAACTGGCAGTTTATAAATTTCTAACCAGTCTTGATTCATTGGAAAGAACCTGAAACAGGTAATGCTCAAGCTAAACCATCTGTTTCTTCTTTCTGACCTGTGATGGAAAGCAGTCAACAATAGCTCCAGGAAAAGCTATGATGTTTAGACTTAGCTTTCCCTTTAAAAAGGAAAAAAATAGCTGGAGAACAGAGATTATTTGTGAAAAACAGAAAGCAGGAGCTTGACAAATCATCCCTTTGTAGAGTGGTTTCCATATGTTAGACAACATTTTGAATCTAGGCAAGCAACTAGACAAAACCTGTGTTCCTCTGGGGAATGAAATATTTTAAGATCTGTGTGTTTAGCAATCATTAATATGTAAGTAAGTTACAGGACAGGTGGGAGCAAGTGCTTTCCGCTTAAGTCATCCAACACACTGTAATGATACAGAGCAGGGAACTCCAAGCAGTGCACTCATACATCTGGATCATTTCCCAGAAAAATAACTGCCTGCACGTCATAGACAAACAGCCTTGAAAAAAAAATTCTGGGTTAGTTTCCTCCATTCCTGTACAGGTATTTCTCAGCTATAGCCACTAATCCTCATTTAGAATAGAAATCAAACAAACATGAATGTCTTGCTAAAGTAGCCCTTTGACCTGGTATCAAGTTCCAGGAAAGACACATAGACCTTCAAGTCATTTACCCGTAATCCCTCAGTAAAAAGGATTACATAAAGGTATATTCTACTTCCACAAATCTTGAAGAAGAGTGGAAACAGTAAGTTCCAGAACTACCTCATATTTGACTTACTAGTGTTGAATTAAGGGAATGGAACTGATTCAGAAGTTGAATGCACTCTGTTTCCGTAAGTATCTTTTCATTTTGTAGCATACAACTGAACAGGACTTCGCTGCTACCCAAGTTATTTTTATTCATTAATCCCTGTCCTGTTTAACATGTCCTACACAGCTTCATACTGAAAAAAAAATCAGACTGATTTCTGGAAGCCAAAAGTGAGTCTGAGAGACAGACCGGAATTAAAACTAGATTACATCTAGATTACATGCTGCATCAATAACCAAATTCCAGTACCGACCACTACTCTTCAACTATCTCAATCTCAACAGTTTCAGCACTCCTGCAACAAACCAGGAAAGCCTCTGAGAAAATCTAAACAGCCTGTGAATTGACAGTAATCCAACACTATGCTCAAGAAAACCTGATTGTGAATTGACGTATTAGCAATGGAACAAATGTGATTCACACACGGAAATGAAAGTCACTTACCTTTTATGTATATTGCCACACCTCCTGCCAGCCTTGCACTGTGTTTTTATTGATCAGCGGGGTCAGTTACAGGAGCCAATATAAACTTTGTTATTTTAGACCTTCAATTCTAGCAATGTAAATTGTGCCTCTGCTATAAAAGATCTTCCCAGTGAAAGATGACATAGTAGCACTAAAGAGTCATCTGCATACTACTGCATAGGCAAAGGACAGAAAACCAAACTGGGAAGGGAAAGGAGAAAGTGACAGAAATCCCTATTATGGTCTCCCAACAGCTTGTCGGATCTTCAGCTCACAAAGGAAGGTACTTCCTAGACCTATAGTGTGATGCTACCTACCACAGTTCAGATCCCATCCTTCCTGTCCCCCAGTCCTTGGTGAGAGTGGGGTCCAGAGAGCAGCTGCAGGCTGGCAGAGTCAGGCAGAATGGTGTCTGTCTGACATGGGGAACATCTGACTGTGTGACTATCTCTGCCCTCAGCTGGCTGCTCCCTGGAGTAAACTCCAGCTGTTGCTTCAGCATCATGAGCTCTGCTCCTTATTTGCTCTGTATCTAGTTCCTGCACCTACTCACTTGTTTGCCTTGTCTTTTCCTTTTAACATTCCTCTTGCTATTCCCCCCCACCCCCCATAGTTAAGAGAACAATATTTCCATCCTGCTGACTTTGTTTGTAAGTTATATCCTTTCTATCACTTGCGGCTGCTTAGACAAGCCTACTTTGTGTTTGCAGTGTATCAAACAAGTTCCTATTTCTTCACCTGACTTTAGACACCTTTATTATAAACATGCTTCTGAAACATTCAAAAAACCATTACAACAAATTTTAGTGTCCAGTAAAGTATCGTAAAGATGTGCAACACACTTTAGAGTTTTTGCTAAACAACAGTGGATGAAAGTCCAGATACTTCATTAATTCTGAGAAATTCACAGTAGTTTCCCTAACCTACCACACAAATCCCTGCTTCTCCACCCAAAAGGCCCCATGGGATCACAATTCTTAAGGACTGAAGTACATACCACAATGATTTTGCATTACCTAATCCTTTCTCCAGAGACCACTTGGAGAGCAAGTCTTTTTATTTGCTGTTTTGTTGCATTTATTTTCTTAACTGTGACCACAAGTTGCAAACTTAATGCATTGGGAAAATTATGAGCATTGGGTAAAGAGGAACAAACAGGGATAATTAACTACTAAAATCAAAAATAGTGAAGAGTAAGAACAGTGTACCTGGCAGAGAGAGGAAAGATTAGCAAGAACAAGAAACCGTGAAGAGAACTCTGTATTATTTCTTTAACACTTGAAAAACTTTACCTACCTCAGTCTGACCATTAAGGGCTAAAAAAAGGCTAAGGCAAGAATCACTTCATATCAGTACAGGTCAGTCTTGGGACTCAAATTGCAGACTACAGACTATCACATTCTTTGCACACAACAGGACTGAATCTTGTTCTGTAAAACAAGTTCTCTAAGTCTGTCTATTAGCCAACATTACCAGCTGCTTGTATTTGGAGGAAATGACTGGTTACCAAAAAGAACAAAGCAATTTTTGAACACCTGTCTGGAATTAGTTTTCTGCTATTGTTACTGATTACTAGAACAGTTCTAACATTTTGCCTTAAAAGAAAGCTTTGTTTATTCTGCAATGGATACTATCCAGTTTAAATGCAATCTTCAAATTACACTTTAATGAGCAGTATCAGTTACAGGAGCCTCATTCACAAGTTCAATTTGAAAAGTTTACAGAAACTACACTTATGGTCAATTCAGATGATAAACAGGGATTTGAAGATACACAATGTTGTTGAACTAAGTAAAGGGCATTGTTTTTTTTCTAATTTCTATCTTAAATTCCTCCTAGTATATTGTCATCTCATTACTATTTGCACAAGCAGCATTTCAGACAACCCTGAGGGAACACAAAAACCATCCACAATATTCTGGCAAAACAACTGAGAAGCTGGAAAATGCCCAGAGAGAACCAGTCAGAAGAAAAGAGAACCAGTTTTGTCACTGGTTTCTCCTAACTCTTCAAAACTCTTATATGCAGTTTTCAAATTACTGGCAAATAGTTTCATATAAAGACTTTCTTTTTTATTTTCAAACAAAATGCAGTTACATTAAAACACAGTGTAACATGTTAGTACGTTAGGGTTCTATTCTACAACAAACGTACAGAAGCTATGGACTACACAAGTCACAATTAGAGGCTTTTCCACAAAAATGTGAATGGGGACACCACTGTAGAGTGCCAGCTCCTGTAATACCAGCCCAAACAGCTATAGCATGCCACTTTACCACTTTTCATGGCAAGGATCAAAGTCCTTTCAACGAGCTTACTCTGGAAGGGGGGGGAATCAAGAACAAAAACCCTCAAAACACCTGAAATCAACTGCTTTGATAGGAGTGGAGCACTGACATCTCAGCCCAGAACAGCTGCCATTTTAACTACGCTGCTTAGCGCAGGCAGTCCTCTGCTGTCCTTATCCCACATCAGGGCTGTGTCACATGGGCAGGGACTGACACAGCACCCACACTTCACCTATCACCCCTCGAACGTGGCTCTAGAGCTATTGAAAGAGTGCTGCTGCTACTACAGAGAGCAGAATCAGGCTGCTATTGGGCCCAGATCAGGTAGAGAAGACTACGGCGACACGAGTTCAGTGGAAGCAGAAGTTAACACAGCTCCTATGCCATGCCATGGACTGTTTGCAGGTTTGTTTAAGTAACGGAGCATTACTAAGGCACAGAAACTTAGCAATAAAATCTTGGCTTTTAGATGTGTATTTAATCTCCTGCATAAAAATGTTCCAACCTTTGTAGGTTAGGATGTAAAGGAAAAAAAAAAAATGTAGCACTGAGGCTAAATAGTAAGCCTGTGTGTTTTGAGGAAGTGACAGAATGATTGACCACAAAGAATGTTACTACTTAAACCTGAGAGTTTTCACACCTATTTAATACAAAAGTACTTATGGCTTCCCATCACCTACAGTAACACATAAAACTCGGAACCTGCCACTTGGAAAACGCAGTTACACATTCATTCACCAGCTAGCAGACTCAACACGCAGTCTACACCAAAATGAAAGCAGATGTCCCGCTGGAAGCTGCTGACCCCAGCAAGGCTAGTGCAATATCTCGCAGACTGAAGTGTAACCCAGTGGCTAAATACACCAGGGAAGGATGCGGCTGTTAATTCTCCCGTGGGACCCACCCTTCCAGCTGAAGACAGCAGAAGCTCGTATGTGACCAACGGGGCGATAAAGCTGTGAGATACCACACCGCAGGGCTGACATTAACATCAGGGTTATGTACTGCTCAGATAGCAGCTGCCCAGCACAACCCAGAACACGCGTGCAGTCCAGCCCTAACAGTTCTATCACCCCAAAGTAACTAAACTGGTAAAGTGCCGTCGCCTGCCAGGCAGCTCGGATGACTTCTCCAGGGCAGTCACATGGAGAAGCCACTTTCCAGCCCCACCGGCAGGGTGCAGACCCTGCTCGGACCCCGGCAAGCTCCAGCCGCGGCGAGCCCGGCCCTAATCGCAGAGCAGCAGCGGCGGACGGGAATCCGCAGACCCAAGCCTCGGCCCCTGCCCTTACCTGCCCGCTGCCCGGAGAGGGCTGCCCGGCCCCGGCTCGCCCGCGCCAGGTGCCGTACCGGCGGCGCGCGCTCCACAGACCGACACTCCACCCCGGTAACGGCTCCTCCCGATGTCCCGGTCCCGCCTCCGGCCCCGATGCGGGGGCTGCCATGGCAGCCCTCTTCGCTTCCTTTCCCCCCGGAACGGGCTGTGCGCGGAACTGCACGCCCGGAGAGGGGTACCTGAAGGCTTGCTCTTGCAGCTCAGAGAGACACCGGAAAACCACCCAAACCAATCCTTTTTGTGATACCTGCCGTAGAACATGTTGCTTTCTTTCTGTTTGATCTCCAAGATATTAAGTTTCCCTCCTTCCATGAATTTAAACGTGTTGCTTTTGGTCTGGATCACAATAACAGCACGATAAAGGAACAGAGCAGAGAGGAATGTTTTCCAGACAGATGATGCATAACCTTTATCCCTGGATTAATAATTTGTAGAGCAGAGATAAAGAACGATTTTGGCCTCATATACTTTCATTTATATTAAAGGAAGGATCATCTAGGGGTGAAAAAATTAGTTCACACTAATACAGGCAGTAATTAGCAGTTCCTAGACAGCGAACGTAATACCAGCCCTGTTTTCCTGTACTCTGTAGAGACCAGAAGAAACAAGAACTTCTTTAGTGTAACACAGAGATACTGATTTTTCTTTTCTTCCTCCTCTCCCTGTGTGTCTTCCTTTCAACCAGATACAAGCAAAACTATGGACTAGACAAAGCTACAGGCAGGCACCAGGCAGGGGGAAAGACAGAGAAGCCAATTATGTGCTGGGGTGTTCCTGTTCCAAAGCAGCTCAACACAGATACCTGCATTACCTTCACTCCTGCTGTTGCAGCAGATGCTGCCAGCACACCCACCACACAACAGTCACTGCCAGGCTGGTGCCCAGTGGCCCCCCCAAAGGCTAATGCTGTCCTCTGAGCAGAGGAACATTCTCAAATGAAACGCGTGGCACAACAGCCACCACAGGGACAGGCACAGAGAAAAAGGAAGCAGGATAAGGACAAGACTGGTTCTGCTCTCCCAGACCTGTGGTCTGCCCATTACTTTTTTCCTTTTGCTAATATCATAATTCTAGACCCCTAACCACTATTGTGTTAATATAGCCTGTTACCCCATTTTGGGCATATTTATCTCCCCAGAAAAAACACACATCTTAAAAATTCCAGCAACTATTCCTAAGTAACTTCTCTGGTCAGCAAGATTAAAAATCAAACAAACAAATGAAAAATACCCCTGTCAACCTTTGGATTAAAGGCACTCTCACTACCCCATGGAGAATTGGTAATAAATCAGTTTGTTCTGCATTCTGTACTGTTGTAATGGCTGAGGATCATTTTTACCAAATGGCTAGTGCTTTTCCAGCTTCCTATATGGGTAAAACGTGTCTATCCTGTACCAGACACATTCAATGTAGGCTTAAGTGAAGTTTTCTAATACTACTTTAAGATTATGTTTCGCCCAGAGCAACATTCCTGGCATGACTGCAGAGGACTTGTCTGCAGATCTCTTGTACTGATTCAGGAGCTGCCTGCATGCTGCACAGGCCACAGGGCAAAGCATGGGGGTAGTCAAACACACGATTCCCCCAAAATTAAAACAATCACTTAGAACTTTCCTGAATGTTTAGAACAACTTTCTAACCTGACCTGGTTTAGAAGCAACTTCTGACCTGAGCTATGGCATTATGAAGAAGAACCATATAAAGTGTCCTGGAAACACAGGGTGTTACTGAATGTGACAGATGGACCTCTAGCATCACAGGAAACAGTATACGGCACTGGCTTCCCTGCTCAGCACAGACTGAAAGCTGTTGCTTTTGTGAATAAGGGACAGTGGACAAATAATACATGAGAAGAACCTACCACACTCCATATGTGTGACTGTCAGGCTCTGGCAGAATCATCCATTCTCTTCTCCTCAGTATGCCTGTTTTTCCCACATGGGATTGCTGTGATCCATAAAATCCATTGAAACATTTCCAAGTGTCTGAAAGACTTTCTCAAATAAAAATTATAAAAAACCCAAACCAGAATAGAGGATGTTCTCAAAAAAATCCCTGGGCAAGTCAATCATGTTTCAATTCCTCCAATCTTTATTTAAATTTGTTCTCACAGGGTCATTAACTCTGTATTTTTCTAGCATACAGAGTCTAATTAATCTGCAAGTGTATTACTCACCTTTCTTCTTTGTATTCTTGGTGGTAAGAAAAGGAGCCTAAATAAAAGGCAAAACTGACCCCCCAGCTGACTCCCTTAGGAAAGTCTTACACTGTAAGTATTCCTATTTAAGGCAGAACTGGCCATGCTCTATGTTCACAGCTAAACACAAAAGATGGTCCACACTTGGTTAGCTTAAAGTAACCAATAAAAGTGGGTACTTCAGCTCTGGTGTTTCAGTACACGATCATATCTGATGTATCAATCACACACTTAGCATGAATGCTCAACAATACTGAAGGATTTTTGAGGAAAGCTACCAAGGGGTTTCAATTTCCACCTCCTGAATTTTCAGGAATGATCAACTGGAAGCTGTTTAAACAAAGCTCATGAAATGTGACACTCAACCAAGGAACCTAAATCACCTGTGTAAATGGGCTTCACTGAGGTGTCAGTTCTGTTACCAACAAGCTGATCCTGCATACTCCCAAGCTGAAGCCCAGCCCAGCCTCTTGGAAGAACAGCAGACAGTCACGCACCTATACAAAAAATCCCACCTGGAAAAGATCATCATGAATATCTATGAAAAGGAGAAGGCAAGAACAGTAGGCTTGAATTCCTGCTCTCTTGTACGAGCCTTCAGAGTGATTTATTGTAGGATGAGGGCAAGTTATAGCCTATTTTCATGAAAAAATAGCTAAAACCCATATTAGTTATGTGGTACCAGCATAAAGGCAAGAACACCTACAAATTGTTGTGTTGTATTTGTTTTGTTTTGTTTTTAACTAGTTCAGAGCAATAAGGAAGCTCCTGTGCTTTAATTCCTTGTGTCTGTATTTCACAACTCCACTTTAGATATATGCCTCCTCTGCCAGTAATACATCAACTTACTGATCATAAACATGTACATCTAAATTACTTTGAGAACTTTCATTTTAATCAATAAAATTTTATGGTTTTATTATGAAAACTGATGATCCATACATATTCTTACTGCCAATAAAACAATTCCAAAGTCACATACCTGAGCTGTGACACACACGGAAAAGAACTTAAGAGATGACCAGCTCTAATGATGAGAGATCTAATGATGATTTATCTTTAGAAGTACCTCAGAAAGTGGATGAGGAATGTTCAGAAAAATCTGGTTACTGATTTAACTGTCAGTAGAATACAGTAAGAAAGGCTAGAAATGCTTTTCATCCCCCCTCCCTTTGAAACTACCGGAGGTTTCATTTTCTTCTTCATCATACATGCTGTTATTTTCACACTAGAGGCAATATTATTCAAAGAAATAAGTCTCCCAGGGATGTTTACTACAACTTTACACAAATACCACCCTGTCAGATGGAAAAAGAGAAGCAAGCATCTACTAACTTTGCTACTGTTCATGCCCAGTTTTCACATTCAAGGGTAAAGCTGTGCTCTTTCCACTGCAGCTCATGTCACTGGGTCCAGTCACTCAGAACGAACCAGAGAGTTTGAGCCTGTAACCCAAAGGGAGTTGATCAAATACCAGTTTTAAAGAAGTTTTTACAATATCCAACACCAGCCCAGACATTCTGTAGTAACAGAAGTCATTGAAACAAAGCTTATTTGTAAACCAAACATCTGTGAGAGATGTCTGGTGGGCAGGCAGAACGCCCCACAGCCCTGCCCATGGGGTGCTTGGGCAATGCCTCATTCTAACGGAGGGAGTGCTCTACTAGTCACGTTTCTTCACGGCATTTTTAAAGAAAGCCCTGGGTAACAGGAATAAAAAGACGCTGATATCCTAAATATGAACCTAATATTTAAGCATACAAGGTTAAAGATACAAAGCAAAGCCGTGCAGGGAGGACATCCAGGATTAAAGACAGCTCTACCGGTGCAAGCGGGACCGGGCCCAGCGCACCTCAGCCCTACCTCAGGGGCTCCCGCCTCACACTGGGGCTGCCACCTGAGGGCACAGCACCGCCCGTCCCGCCCCGCCCCACAGCCCGCGGTTACGGGCGCCCCCTGCGGGCCAGGCGCCCCGGGGAAGGCGGCTCCAGCGGGGAGCCTCGACCCACCCCGCCACCGCCCCACAGCCCCACCGGCTCCTAACGCCCGGAAACGGCAGCACCGCGGCTTCCCCCGCGCAGACATGAGCGGGCTGGGGGCCGCTGCGGAGCCGCCGAGTTGGCGGCGGGGCAGCAGCGGTAAGGGCGTGGGGAGGCAGATACCGAGCGCCGGGGGGAGGAAGCACCCACCGGCGGGAGCCCGCCGCAGGTGGCGGGGGCAGGGAGGGGCCGGGAGCGGGGCTGCCCTCGCCTCACCTCGCCTCACCTCGCCTCACCTCACCTCGCCTCCCTCGCCTCCCTCAGCGCGGTGGGGGTCTGGGGGCGGCCGGGCCGGGGCTGCGGGCTGGGTGCCATATTGTGGCTTCCTCCCTCTCGCAGAGGTCTTTCCTCCTGAGGAGGCGGGAGCCGCCGCACCTGGGGGGTTTCTGCAGCAGCTGCCCAGCTACCAGTCGGCGCGGAGGCGGCGGAACGCGTCCGGCGTGGGCACCCAGGGGCGGCGGGCGGCCCAGCAGGGCTCTGGGGGGCGCCGCGGGGCTGAGGCCCGGGGGCCGGAGCAGGAGGGAGGCGAGCGGGAGGCTCGTCCTGCGAGGGAGTACCCCCTGAGTATCGCGGAGAAGCGGAGGCTGAGGTAAAGCTTTACACGTTTTTTCTGTTCTGTTTCTTAATAACAATTTCCTGAACGCAGCGCAGGTGGGGTGGTAGGCTGAAGCAGCACTGGGCTCGTCTGTGTCTCTTTCACACTGTGACATGTGGTTTTGACCAGAAATTGCCGGGTACTCATGGAACATGTGGCAAGCTCCCTGTGGCACCTCCGGTTGCAGGAGCATGGCTAGGTGCTCTTGGCTGGCAGGAGGGACTAGCTGACTTGGGGGAGGAATAGGTTGAATTGGGGAAAATGAGTCAAAACCAGGAAATACCTGCAGCAGCCGAACGCGTTTTGTACTGGCTTCCTTTTTTTTTTCATTCTTCTTGCATCAGGGTTTTGTGCTTTTAAGGGTCACTGCGGGTTATTTGTCATCAGAAACCCGCTGCTGCGGGCGAGTGCTGCTACGAGTCTACTGAGCAGTTCTTCCAAAATGCATTGCCCCCTCTCTGGTGTGGCTCAATACAGGTAGAAAGAACCCTTCCAGGACCATTGCTTCCTTTTCTTGGTTTATTTTTCTTTTCCCTACTCTTTTTAAACCGCTCTTTGCTGTGAGCTGCAAACAGTTCCTGCCTCTCTAGAGGTTACCCACAGGAGAGGCAGGGAATTGCAAAGGGCATGCTTTGTCCCGCCTGTGCTTCTCTGCTTGTTGTCTCATCTCTTACTGCTAGGCTGAAAGCTCGTTTGGGGAGAGAGGCTATGGCATGTGTTTTTACATTGTCAGACAATGGCTGCACCTTTAAATCAGTTATTTCTTAGTTGTGGTTATGAATCAGGAGAGAGGTGAAAGTACAGCTAATGTCTAGTGCTCCACAGAGAACAATAATAACTCTCAAGAGCAGTGGGAAATGAGTTGCACCCTGACTCTGGACTTAAATTTAACCCTACAGCCTGTACACAAGAACAGCAGATGATTTAGGTCATGGTAAAGGACAGTGCTCAATACATTGAATTTTTATTTGAAGTTGTGTATCAAGAAAAAGCAACTGCAGTCCTTTGGCTGTAGCGCATGTTAGGAGCAGAAGTGGGATATCCCAAGCTTGTTTACATGTTTTAGAGCTGAGAAATTCTGGTGGGGCTTCTTGGCACTTTTGTAGATCAGTGATCTTTGTGCATTGTGCAGCAGCTGCCAACACAGAATGCTTGACATAAATGTCCTGAAAGCTGAACACTCAGCTTCTGTCACACAATGAATATGCAGCCCAGGCCTCTGTTTAAAATGCGGACCAAACATGGGGCAGATAGTTCTCCAGTGTGTCTGTCTAAACCCTACATGCTCCAGCCTGTAGTTTCCACAAAGTGGAATCTTTTGAGAGTACCTGTATTTGGACTTAAAAATGAGGTCACCAGTTGCCTGTTTGATGGTTGTACATAGGGTTTAATTTGGCTTCCTGTCAAAATGCTAATTTTACTTTCAGCCAAAAAGGATATGGAAACTATAGCAATGTACAGCACCCATGGAAGTGGCATGTCAAGTCAGGCACACACTTCAGTAGGGGTGTGTGCAAAGGCTTTTCTTCAAGCTGTGTTTCTGGATAGTTTTGTCTGGTTTTAAGGCTTCTTAAAAAAACATAATGCAAAACTTTTATTACTTTCCCCCATCCCCCCAGCATATGTTGACATTTCATTCTGATTTTCAGATGTGTGAATTTTCTGCAAGAAAAGAGAGTAAGGTTCTATTTTGAATAGCTGTATTTCTAACATTAAGAGAGGCAAGCTAAACATTTTAGAGAACTTTTTTTAAGAGCCTCTTGGTGAAAATGCTCTCTCCATGTCAGAAGTTTTCAGAAAATAATCTCTCTTCCTTCCCCAGACATTTGTAAATATGAAATCATTAATGGAATCTTCCATGAGATCCCACCAGGAAGTTCAGGCTACATGTTTTTCCTGTGCTATGCTATTGTCAATTGGATTTTTTATTTTTTCCCCAAGAGAAGCAACTGTTTTCTGCAGGAGGACTTGCTGTATTTGAATTAACTTGATGTCACAGTTACCAGGAGGAACAGATGAGGACAGCTAGCATACGCTACTCAGATTATTAGCACTGTGGTATCTCTCCCAAGGCTGCAAGCAGGCTCCGTTGTGCCAGGCCCTGTTACATGTTGTGAAAAAGTATTTCTTGTGCTCAGTAACTATTTCTTGATCCTCAGGGTCTTGCAGAAGGCTGATACAAAATATTTATCTGGGTGGAAGCAGTGGAAAAGAGCTAGCAATAAATCATTGAAAAAAGTTCTCAATGAAGTGAAGGAGTTGTCATCTTACCTGGAGCTTTGGCGACATGATATTCACAGCATAGAGGGTATTTACTGTCTGATGTCAATTTCTTATCTTTAAAGTTGCTTCTGTTATTGGTAGTTTTACATGTGTAACCATAGTTTCAGATATAACTGTATGTGTTTAAGAAGTTACCTTATTATTGCTGGTATAAAATCCGTGATGGGGTAAATGGAAATATATTGGATAAAATGATTAAAAAGTCACATTTTCATTTGAATTGTTTTTCTAAAACCCTGCAGTACTTCAAACTAGCTTTAGTAACGTTTCTTCAGCTTGCTCAATGTTACTGAAACGATTGTGCACTGCTCATTGTGTACTTTCAATGATTTTTATCGTCCTAATTATTGGCACATGTTTCTTTAATTCCCAGGGAAATTTGGCACTGGCATCCAGTCCTACTTCTCCTTCCTGCGTTTTCTGGTCCTGCTGAATTTTATAATGTTTATCCTGATGTTCAGTTTTGTTACCTTTCCCAGCATCATTTCCAAATATGGAATATTCAACAGTACCTTTGCTAAAATTCCTCCGCAGAACACAGGTAAATATCTTCTCTATGTACTGCTGATGTTTGTAAGATTCCCCCTTTCTGTCAGCTTTTCCTCCACCTCCCAGGAGAAAGAAATGCTTTTATTAGAAGAACTTTCCATGTTTGAGTTAAATTTATCTTACAGTTTTATGGCCTTTACTATTTGAGTGACGTGTTTTGCCTTTCTGTTGACAGAGCCTCACTGCACAGTTTATACACCTAGTGGTAATAAGGGACTTGTTTACTTCTATACTTACCTCAAAGATTTGCTCAGTGGCACTGTAAGTAATTAGATATTTTTTTTTAAAGTTTTTATGTTTCTCATAATGTTAAAAAGCTTTACTTGGGGGAATGAAGCTTTGGTAATTGTGAAAAATGACAAGGCATATGCATCACTGGGGTAAAATTAGCCGTTATTATCTGTGAGAAAGGGAGTTTTCAAACTGACTTCTACTGCATGTCTACAAGCCTGGTTGGGCACATGCTGCAACCTGTGCCTCTCCTCCCCAGCTGCCAAGCGTTACATATCCTGTAGCACACTGCCTGTTGTGCTCTTTGTGCAGGGTATCAGTGTTTTTGTCGTAGAGCTCTTTGATTGGGAGAGGGGAGGGATTTTAAGCACTGTCTGTTACAGTTTGGTAGATGCAGTGGCAGTATTTAGAAGCTGTGAAACTGTTGTAGCTTGCTGGGCATACAAATAGTAATTTTAGATTCACAAAATTGCTTAACACCATGTTGAATATAACTGGGCAGTTGCTGCTACTGTTACAAATTCTATTCCAACTTCATATTTTCACAGGGGTTCCTTGAAGTGACAAGTTTGTTTTATGGCTATTACACAATACATACCGCATGGTTCAGTATCCTGAGCTACAATTTGCCACTAGCGTATCTGTTGGCTACATTTGCCTACCTTGCATTAAGTTTCATCTGGATAATAAAAAGGTAAAGGTGTTGGCGTAGTTTAGGTATATATTTTCTGCTACCTGTTGCACAGTTTACATTGCATTTTTGCTAGTAGGGAGCATACTCTTTTATATGCAAATGGAGAATATTTGAGGATGCAGTGCCACAGTAGCTTTTGTCTGTTTGGGAAACTAAGCCAGCAAAATAAGTATAAATAAATAAATTTGAAGTATTACTATTTTTCATATTTATGCATACATGTATAGTTGAAAGCCCTTTATTTGTAATAGTTGTAGGAGGATTTTCTGTTAGGTTTTTTTGGTGCTTTTGGTTTGTTTTTTTGCCATCTCAGCTTCCTGAGACAGCTCTTTGCAGTGTCAGATGATAGGAGAAGGTATGACTGTGGCTAAGTGCAGAGGGAAGTAACCCGTGTCAGTCATGGCTCTACCTCACTTTGGTTGCTGCAGAACCTCACACTGAAAGCAGCCCAGAGACTTGCTGTTAGAAAGCAAGTGTGGCTGTTTGCTCATGAAGGGGAGAGTGTCATTTAGTCTTTGAACCAGGTTGCTTGAGTTGTGTTCTTGTGTTTCTTTTTCTGTGGATAAAATGTCTTTTCATGAATGAATTGCATTTTTCTTTAGGTCTGTGGAAGGATTTAAGCAGAACTTGGTGCATGGGGAAGATCAATTTCAGAGTTACTGTAACAAAGTCTTTGCAGGCTGGGACTTTTGCATTACAGATCCAAATGCAGCACGGCTAAAACATCGCAGCTTGCAGTATGAGCTCCAAGTGAGTAACTTTGATTTCTCTATGATTATAGTTAAATATAGCTTAGATGGCTAAAAAAGAGGTGTGTAATTTTGCAGGTAATGGAATAAGGATAAAAAGGATTGAAGTAGCTTATATTGGGGGCAGGGCAACCCACATCCTCTTGCGTGCTTTCTGGGTAGCTAGAATTGTGATGCAATGGCCCTTCCTCTGTCCACTGGGGACTGAAGCCAACCTGTCTTCTTCACGCTCCAGTCCTGCTTCCTGTGTTTCTGCATAATCCAACAGAAAATACTATCCAGGTTGTGGGCAAAACCCTGTACTGTTGGGAATCAGTCTGAGTATATTGGGTTATAAATCTACAATGTGGGAGGCAGTGGTTTGGGGAGGAATAAAATTCAGATGGTGCTCTTCATACAATCTGAGAGCATTGTTGCAGAAGGTAAACAGATATTGAAAGGTTTTCCCTAGGTGTCTTTGACAAACATGCACATACGAAATGCTGATACACCTAATAGATTTCCCAAATCATAAAGCTCTCTGAAAAAGAGATTAAAGTATTTTTCTGATGAAACCAGTACCACCTTTTTGTTCTCCATACGCTGAAAGCAGAGGTCTGTGTAGTGAAATAACTACCTTTGAAAAGATGCTTCCACTTCAAACCACAAAGCAGTAATTACAGATTTCATAAATTACAGAGAGTTGCTTTCTGCTCTAGTAAAATCCAGGGTCATCTTTTTCATCATATAGTCAGAGCCTCCTTCACTTATCACGGTTTTGCCTCTAGAACTCGCACCTTAGGAGAACTTTCCTCTTCATATTATTGTTTGGAAATAAGTTCTCAGAAAATACCTGAGTAATCTCTGGGTTTGCTCAGGTTAAATTGCTTTCACAGATGATACTGTGTTTTCACATCAGCTAAGGTGAAATATATCAAATTTACATGAAAAGCTGTTCAAGACTGTACTGCTTTTTCTCGGAGCCATCCCTCAATTTTCCTTCACAAAAAGTAGGAGAAAGAAGCTTGAGCGAGGACTGGTTACTTATCTGCAGAAGTAAAGAGATGAGTGGGCTGATATACATGTTTCAGAGATCAATACCAAGCTGTCTGAGATCAGTCACAATAAAGAGGCAAGTTGTCTTTGTATCCTTAAGGAGATACTTACCAGTATAGTAGAGATAAGAGGATTAGAAGGCTTTAGCTACAGGGCCCTCGGCCTGAAGGTTCTGTGCTCAGGCTGAACACAAAGGGGCTTCCACTACTGCATGGTCCCGTTTGTGTTGATGAAGAGGCATTCTCAGTTGAGTGTGCTTGGGCAGGTGGTGGAGTTGACCCTCTTACAACAGGCTATGGGTTTGCATATTCCCAAGGTAAAAGACAAGTATTGTATGCTGCACCAGAGAACCACTTACCCTTTTTCTTTTTCGTTTTAGACAGACTTGGAGGAGGAAAGGCTGAAGCGAAAAATAGCTGACAGAACAGTGAAAGAAAAGCTATGCATCTACTCTCTGAGACTATTTATAAATATAATTGTCATTGCAGTTTTATCAGGATGCTTTTACTCTATTTATAGAGCAACTGTCTTCTCTCAAGAAAACTCTAGTGTAAGTATCAGACATGACATGAGGACAGATTCAGCCGGGGCTGGTGATTACAGCAAGAGGAACTATTGTGAAAGAGTCAAGTATCTTAATATAGCACCTTTCATATGAGGGATCTGAAAACTTTCTACAGTGTTAGAATTATTTTAGTAGGAGAGAGTGAGAAAGATAAGAACCATGTGCATAAAAAAACAAACAGTTTGATGCAAAGGCTTTGTTGTTGTGTGCTTTGGAGCTAGTGCAGCTGAAAGAAAGAAAAATGGTCCTCACTTTCCTTCTCATGTAACTGTTCTCACCTCACTGTGATCTGCTAGTACAAACTTTGTATACCTGGGCAGTGAACTGGATGAGGGAACTGATCCAGTTAAAAAAAAGTGATCATTTCATTGTGATCAGTTTCTTGATTTGGTTCACTGCTTAGTTGCAAAAATGAACAGCAAGGGAAGGAGAGAATAAATATAATCTGTATTGTGGTAGAGTTACAGCTACAGGAACGCTTTGAACGCAAAGGATTTTGCAGAAGAAAAGGTTAGTGCATCAGCAGTGGAAAGAATCAGGTTAGCTGGGGTTGTTTACCCCTGGCTGGACGAGCAGATGGGAAGGTGCTTCAGAAACAGAGGTCCAAGAGCAGACAACAGTTTCAACAGTTTCTCAGCATTAATTGATTTCTTTGTAGGACCCCAGGATTGACTTAGCCTGATACGAATCAGGATCACAGTTTTCTCTCCAGTCTGTTTGTGATGTGAGGGGCACTGGCTGTGCATGGGGAAAGTTGTGCTCATGATGAACCTTATTCTTAACTTCTGTAAACTGCCAGGGTTGCAAATAGAGGAGCAGGAAATGGAGACTTACAAAGTGCTTGTGTCAGAGGTATTGTTTGAGGCAGAGGAGGATAGCACAATACTGAACATCTTGAAAAACAGCTTCACTTACTGTGGGCTTTATGTATAAGGGTTGATGTCTTGACTTTGCCTAAATGAGTAGGTAGAGGAGCTTGTTAGGATGGTAGAAAATTTAGGGGGGCTGCTTGGCAAATAACTTGAAAAGTGTCTGCACTTTGACATAGGTGAAAAAAAATTATAGTGTTAGTGCTGGATGAGGCAACAAGGTCAGACACAAGCCTTGGTGAGATGATTCTCTTCAAAGAGGAGCTTTGGGGAAGTGCAGAAATACTGTTATCTGGAGGTAGGGGGAGTTACTGGTGAAGGGAGCAGGGTGTGTAGCAGGAAACTGCAGAAATAGATAGCAGTGGTCAGGCTTGCAGTTCCAAATACAGGTGGGGAGTGAAAACAGTAAAAGATGCCACCTGAATCCTGGGTAGGAGAGGCTGGTGGGTAGCTGGAGAGAGCACAATGTCAAGAAGGTGTGTTTTTCTGAGTGTTCTCTTTCTCTCATCTCTTCTTGTATAGGACATCAGCAATATGAACTTCCAGGCTAATCTCTTAGTGCAGTATTTGCCTTCCATAGTGATCACATTGGCCAACTTCATTGCTCCTCAGATCTTCTCATTTCTGATTGGATTTGAAGGTTATTCGCCGGCCTTTGAAATCAGGCTGACACTCATGAGGTAACGATGTTTTTATTGTGGCCTTGCATGTTTCAGCAACTTAGTAGGTTATAAGTACTGTAAACATTTACATGTCAAGAAGCAGAGAGGTTGGCCTCTCTGCACTGGAGGCCCCAGGCACTGGAAGCCAAGGAGGCATTGTTTGACTTAAGTTTACTTGGAAACTTTGAATCTGCAAACCATCTCCTGTTTTGAGGACAGTACAAGCCGGTCATTCCAGTGTCCCAAGTTTTTCTCTCGGTCCCATTTAGCTGTGTGATCTGGACATCTTCAACAACCTGGAATAAATAGTCAGTAGAGAAGTTGTGGCTGCAGAGCTGTGGATTCACACTGTTTTGTGTGCAGGAATTCCTTGAATGAGCAGATGACTGTACAGCAGTGACTGAAACACTGTTTTGCTCAAGGCAGAATTTAAAAGTTTTGGGCTAAAAGGTGCTTCAGTGTGAGAGCGTGAAGAACTGTTACTTGGCAGCTTAAGGCATTAAGATCTGGGTTGAAGCATGTGAAATATGCAAGCCCCTGTGCTTTTTATTTCTGATTTGGCTAAGTGCCTCTGAAGGTCTGAAGCCACTTGAGGAGGAAATGCTGCACACAAAGTTGTCACCTGGCCTCTCAAGCTGTACTTGAGAGAATTGCAGCCCATTGCAGCATCAAGATCTGCAACTGAAATGGCTGATCTAGAAACAGTACTGAAAAAAGAAATGAGGGACTGTAGCCTAAAGCAGAGAAGATGAAAAGCAATTTAACTTACTGCTAAGGAAAGAAATGTGTTTATTATCTATCTGGCTGTTCCATTAAAGCTCTGGTAGACCCTTTTGTGCTTCAAGCCTTCCTGGGACTCCTGTGCAAGCTGAGCCAAGTGTCATAATGACTTCTTTAGTAGGTTTGAAATTAGGTTTTGCCTTTTTTCCAGGTGTGTCTTTGTGCGGTTGGCCAATATTGGTGTCCTCTTGTTCTCGCTGTGGAGTCAGATCTCCTACTGTTCCACCGATGAGTGTAAGGCCTGTGGATACAATTACAAACTCTATCCTGTAAGCAGATATATCTTGGTTTTTAATTATCTGAACTTGTGAACGGAGATTTGTTTTCCAAGAGACTTGCTTGTCTGGAGCTATTCAGAATCAGATGTGGGGTTGCGTTCATGTTAATGCTTGGTGCTGATTCCTACTGCTCAGTGCAAACCAGTACAGTTCTTATGTATATCTTTTCTTTGTCTAAAACTGATTAGAATTAGTTCAGGGGGATGTAGTATCATTTGAATAATAGACTTTCTGACTACCATAAGAACTGTTTAAAGTAGCTCTGGTTTAGACATAGTTGTGTTACTGCCTTTTGCTCCAATTAGACAAATGGCCTTTCCTCAAAAAAACCCAACACAAACCCAACAACAAAACCAAACAAACCCAAAAAACAAACAAAAAACTCAACATTGAAATCCTGAAACACTTAAATATATTAGAAATGGGAGTTAATACAGTTGGAATGTTATAGTGTTACCTGCCTGAGATGTTTGTTGCCTCAGTGATTGACAGATTTATTTTTCACTTGTTATTGAGCTCCTGATCTTTTTTTTCCTGACTTGTTTTTATAGTGCTGGGAAACTGAAGTTGGGCAAGAAATGTATAAACTGACAATATTTGATTTTATGATAATTCTTGCTGTGACCCTGTTTGTGGACTTTCCTAGAAAGTAAGTATCTGCCTTTTGAGCATATGTTTGCAAATGACATATAAAACAGTTTCCTTTTTTTGTTTTTCTTTTTTTTTTTTTTTTTGTCTGTTACTATTTCCCCATGTTTCTAGCCAAGCTACCAGTTTTACAATAAAACATAAACATATATCTGGTGGCTTGAGTATTTGTTTGCTAATCAGATGGCTGTGTATTTTTTCATGTTTGAGTCTTTTCTTTCTTCAGAATTTTTGTGTTGTCTACTGCTTAAATGCTAAATATCTGTGTGTTCCAAATCTGTTAGAATTCAGCTAAGTTTTATGACTTTAATTTAGACTTAATGATATTCTTTGGTTTTAGGTTGTTAGTTACTCATTGGTCTTGCAAGCTAGTTCAGTGGTATGGATTGCAGGAATTTAGAATTTCTGACAATGTCCTGGAAATTATTTATGGGCAAACTATCTGCTGGATTGGAACCTTTTTTTCACCACTTCTCCCTGCAATAGCAACTATAAAGTACTTCATCATCTTTTACATTAAAAAGGTAATGAAAGTGTGTGGCAAACAAAGAAAACTGAGCCCATTTCTGTGGGTTTTGTAATACAGATATGCAGTTGATATAAAATAAACAAAAGCCCCTAAAAACACCAAAGGATATGGTGTTCTGGAAATGAGGCAATGGCATTCTGTTTTCTGTAGGGTTTTTTTTGCGTTTAAGAGGAGGTAGAATTTTTAATAAAACATTTTTATATAATAAAGCTTAATTATAAGTGTTTATAGCATTTTCCTGCAGTAATCTGTTTACTAGCAACACATCTTAGAACTTGGCGAAAATTTTGCCAAGTTACTAAAGATTTGGAAACATAATGGAAGATCCAAGCTGGGTTGGATGCTCAAGATGTGATTTCTGCACATAAGAAGCTTTGTTCTCCGACTGCACAGCTCCTCCTATGTGTCAAATTCTTGCTGATATTTTAGCTCTTACAAGAGGGGATGTATCCAGTGAAGATGTGGCAGAACAAAGCTGGTGGCTGTGCCATGGGTCATACACTAAATGTCAGTTGACTGTGCAGGTGTATGAGGCCCTCTGGATCAAAGTTTTACTCAAAATAACTTATACCAGAGTTATTTTGAATATAATAACTCAAATTATTATTCAGTTAATATTATATTGAGTTATTATTAATAACTCAAATAACATCTGACTGATACCAGAATGTAAAGCATTCTTGCTGTAGCCCTCTTCAATTCGTGTACATCAATGAAAGGATGGTTATGTGGTAGCAGGTAGCATATCTGTGAATGGAAAATCCAGTTGGTGGGGAAAGTATACTTGGATGTATGTATATAGATGTACTTCTAACATTCTCTCTCACTTTCCCTCTTCAGATCAGTTTGATACACACATGCAAACCTGCAGCCAGACCTATCAGAGCATCAAGTTCCAATTTTTTCTTCTTGCTGGTGCTGCTGATTGGGCTCGTCTTGGCTTTTATTCCTTTGGGAATCAGCATAGCACAGTAAGTGACAATTTAACTTCATAGAAGTTGATACTTGTTCTGAGGTTGTCAGTTTCCTAAAAAGAGAGACACAACTTTGGAATGATAAATTGGAATAAAATATATGGTGCATTATAAATCAAACTCTAACTCAGTTCATATAAACAAAAATCACAGTTTTAAAGATACTTTTACCCCATTGGCAAAATGGGGCTGGGCTTGTGTTGGATTATTTTATCTTTACATTTTGGTGTAGCATCTCCTTTCTGTTCTGTTTCTTTGACAGTATCCCCTCCTCCAAGGCATGTGGGCCATTCAGGAGTTTTAACACTTCATGGGAAGTTGTTCCAGATACAATACTTGGGTTTCCAACAGGTCTGCAGCAGGTCTTTCATGGCATAGCATCGGAAGCCTTTGCAGTGCCTTTCTTTGTGGTCATTTGGTGAGTTCTGTGGAGACTTGGTTCAGTCATGCAGCTCTGTGGTTCATTGCCTTCCTTACTGAGCTGATACCAAAGAGTTATTGGACCAAATTTTCCATCTGCATTCAAAAGCATCAAAGCCCACATGAATCCTCAGCTCTGCCCATGTGCTGATGCTCATAGCTTTATTCCATTTCCTCTTGTATGTCCCATATCCCACACTTGTCTTTCTCAGAAGTGTTGACTGTGAATCATTCTACAAATTAGTATTTTAAACGTTATGGTCACAAATCCTATCTGCAAGCCTTGGTTTAAAAAACCCACAACAAACCAACCCCTCAAAACAGTAACCCTGTAAGATAAAATCAGGATTGAACCATAGAATTTTCAAGGTTGGAGGTCAGCTGTAGAGATCATCTAATCCAACCCTCCTGTTCAAAACAGGATCAAGTAGGTCCTCGGGAACAGTGTCCAGATAGATTTTTGGATACCTCTGAAGGTAGGGGAACTTCACAGCCTTTCTGGGCAACCTATTCCAGTCTTTGGTCACTCCAGTATAAAAGACTTTTTTTTTCCCCTATGTTTAAATGATTTTTTTTTTGCATTTCAGTTTAACCCGACTGTTTTCAGATCTTGGAGCCTTGTTACCTGATACTTTTTACACTTGAGAAACCATTCAGTTTATTTCAGACCGCACCCAACGCTTTCTTCCATAACATATGTTTATGTGTTCTCCTGAACTGACCGTGTTATTGTATGCACAGGAAATACCAATTCCTCTTTTTTAACTTTTTCTTTCTTTTTTTTTACTTTATCATACAGCCTATGTAAGAAGTGGAGGATGACTTGCATTGCTACCGTACTACTTACTATTTGGAAAAGAAAATATGTGATTTATGTAGGCATCTGTTCTATCGTAGTTCTTGCTACTGTTCTCCATCTTTTAATGCCCTGTGAATAATCTGTGTCACAGATTACATCTGGAATACGTGCTATAAGAAATGGCTGCAATTCTGATCTGTGGCTGCTTACCATAGTTAGAAACCCCAATGGGAGCAAAGAGTTACTCCATTGAAACCTCATTAAACTTAATTTCTGAGGAGCAACCTCCTCTCATACCTACACTTTGAGCAGGGCAGGAACTGACAAGTCTAGAGAGCGCTGTCAGAACACAACCTGTAACATCTGAAAAGTGGCCATGCCTCTGTGTCCCCTCACACTCTGTCCCTGCCTGCTGGCAGCACAGATTTCTGAGCAAATGCTTTTGAGTGGAGCTATGTCATATCTACCCCAGCTGTGTATTGTTTATTTTATATTTTTTCTCCAGCAGCTTCTCATCTGAAGCAAATGCACAAACTGACAGTTCCTCCAGCCTGTAACAGTCTTTTTCTGACTAATTCTGTTTGGGTGATGCTAACACACAGTGTTGGTTTGTTGTTCGCAGCATCATCATGTTCTATTTTATGGCCTTGGCTGGAGCACACAAACGAGTGGTTGAGCAGCTGAGGGAGCAACTGGTTCTGGTATGATTTGACCTACTTTTGTGTACCCCTAAAGTTTTCTTTATTGTGTCAGTAGTGGAGCATGCAGAGGAGCACCAGTTTTCATTATCTGGATACTCGGTGTTTGCATAGACAGTGAAGAATGTTTTGCAAATTACACAGGAAATATAATCAAAGCACTATAGTATTTCTCAGTCTAGTTGGTTTTCTTGGGTATCAGCTGCACCTGCAACAAGGTCTGATTGTATGAAGCAACATACATTCATGAGAGATGCCTCTGAGAAGAAGTCTTCCTGTTCTCTATCTATTGTCTTGCTTAAATACACCCATCTGCACGGTTTTTTTTTCTGCCAAACAAGAACATGAATCTTGTGCTTCCTATCCCCTCCTCCATCTCACACAATGCCCACCTCCATTTTCTTCTCCACTCTCATGATCAGGCACCCAACTCCCTACCCTTCTGTTCTGGTTTAAGCTCAGCCAGTAACTCAGAACCACACAGCCACTCCCTCACTTCTTTTGTTTTCCCTCCCTGCTCCCGACGGGGTGGGGAGGAGAATCGAAAGAATGTAAACCCAAGGGGTTGAGATAAGAACATCCAATAACTAATGTATAATATAAAACTACTACTACTACCACCAATAATAATGATGATAAGGGAAGTAACAAGGGGAGAGAATATAAAACGAAAAAGGGAAGGAAAAGAACGTCAATAAACACAAGTGATGCACTGTACAATTGCTTACCACCTGCCAACCAGTCCTGCTGCTTACCACCAGCCAGACCTGAGCAGGGAGCTGCCCTCCCGGGAGACTCCCCCTAGTTTATATGCTGGGCGTGGCGTGCTGTGCTATGGAATGTTTGGCTAGTTTGGGTCAGGTGTCCTGTCTTTGCTTGCTCCTGGCTTCTTGTACCCCTCCTCACTGGCAGAGCATGAGACTGTATAGTCCTTGATCAGGGTAAGCATTTCTAAGCAACAACTGAAACATTGGCGTGTTATCAGCATTGTTCTCAGACTAAAGCCAAACCACAGCACTGCACCAGCTACTAAGAAGGAGAAAAATAACTCTTACAGCTGAACACAGGACACCTTCCTTCCAGTCTGATGTTTCTACTGCATCGTGTCTGGTCTTATTCCTGAGGGCAGGTCCAGCACTGCTTGCAGCAGATACTCAGAGTAGAGCAAGTCCCAACTAACTAGTTCTTCAGAAAACAGTGCCAGTGCAGACTTGCTGCTTTGTGGCCATCAGAAGCATATACTGTGGTCTGTCAAACTCTCCACTAGTCAGAACCTAGCCTCACTAGTAAGTCTTCTCACTTTGTTAGGAAACAGCCCTTTTCCTGATGTGTGCTTCTTTTAGATACAGTGTTTAGCAACCCATCCTTAGAAAAACGCTGTGCTGGGGAGAGCTTTTTGACCAGTGAGGAATACAGGAGCGAAAGCCTTGCTGCTTTTTCAAGGGTTCCCGAATCAGTTAGGAATTCTGAAAATCCTTGCATGCTTTTTATTTTTGTTTGCTCATTGTTCTTGAGCTTCTTGGAAGTACAGGTTTAAGTTTCCAGGTGTGTGAGCTGCTTTTACTAGGTTCAACACGGAACTGTTAATGTGAGATAGATGAAGCTAAGACTATGATAAAGTGATTCAGGCAGTTGAGAGTGTGCTGAGAGTCACTAATGAGAGTGCAATGTAGTGAGTGCATTTATTTATTTCTAATAAAGAAATGAGCTGTTCACTGATAACTTCCTTTAATCTAGAGCATACTTTTTATTCTGTCTTTCAAGGCGAGTCGTGACAAGCTGTTCTTAATCAGGAAGATAACAGAAGCTCAGAGGCATCCTTGAAAACCACGAAAAGCCAGAAGAACTTGACTTCCCCAAACTTACAGAACCACTAGATAAGAGTAGAAGCACCTGCAGCACCTAAAAACTGAGCAGCTGACTGCATCCTGGCATTGTGGTCTATCTAATGGACACCTGTGGTCTTATTTTTGATTGTTCTAGTGGGCCTTAAAGATTCCATGACTGGAAATGTAGCTAATACATACTGTGCTAGACCTCTGCAAAAAATTGTATGGTAGGACACTATTGCTGCTACAACGTCGGGGTGTTGGGGTTTGGTAAGTCGCTATTTTTTCAGGGGTTTTGGGTAAAATGTGATCAGAACTGAAACTGTTTAAGAATTTTGTACTGTTTCTACAAATTACGCCTTAAGAAGAGGGAGGGGGAAGAAGATGCAGTTTTACATGTTTCTATCTCACTTCTCTTGAAACCAAAGCAAAAGAGAGATATGTCAGTATTTCAAAATACTGCGTAGAAGAAAATATGGCATGGGTTTGAGGAGGAGAGACTTTGGAAATTATTTTACTCTGAAACAGCAAGTGCAGTTGAACACTGGGTAATTTCACACAAGGGCTCAGAGAAAACAGCTGATAAAAGAACTCTGAATAAACAGTAGGAGTTGGAAGAGACCACCATGCAGGCTAGCAAGTGGGGACAGCCATTGCTCAGGTAGCAGACTCACTGTTGCAGAGTGCCTTTTTTGTTGTTTCAGTGTGTTAAGGCATTGTTACTTGTATTTTATTCTTGTACAAACATCCTGACTACTGTTCTCTTTGTTCTAAAATGTGAATAATGAGATATAGTTTGGAAATGCAGCCTTCAGAAACTTACGTGTCAGTACCCTTCAAATTCACATTTCTTCTCACTTAAATAAACTACAGGAGCTGTGTGGTTTCGAGAGAACAGTATTTCCAAGTAGACCACTGCTTTCCTTTATTTATAGGTTGTGCTTAAGGACTTTCTGTGCAGGGTTGTGTTCAAGATTTGAAATTTGCAGTAGTACACTGTTAGTTAATACGTGAGAGACTGATCTTTTTATAACGTATTGGAATGTTTTCTGACTTCATTTTTAAGAAATTATATTGTAAAATAGTAATTTATTGGACGTTAATGCCTGATGTTGCTCAGATAGGTTTGCTCCGGCTACGGGTGCAGCCCCAGACCGTCCGCCTCGGCCGGCACCTCCGCGCCGCTAGGGGCGCCTGACTCGCAGCAGCCTCTGAGGAGGTGTCGTGCCCTCGTTACCATGGCAGCCAGGACGCCAGCACTGACTGGCAGCTCCGCTGTCCAGGGCGGGAGCGCTGGGGAGCAAATGGGAGCCGTGATAGGGCGGGATGGTGGAGGGAAGCGGCTTGCGGTGATGACGTTGCGGCGCTGCGACGCGCTGGAGGTCAGCGGGATGGCGGTGGCCGCTGCCGGGGCGGCTCCGGCTGTTCGGCGCTCGGTGGAGCGGTGCCGGCCCCTGTGCTGCGGGGCGGGTATGGGCTCGGCTCCCGCGCCTGACCGAGCACCCCCCAACGTGTCGGGGTGCCGCCTCAGGCTGCCCGGCCCCGCGGGTAGCAGCGCCCGCCTCGGACGGGGGCCGGGCCCGGCAGAGCTCGCGTCACCGTTGTCTCTCCGGCAGGTCCGCGGGGCAGATGGGCTCTGCCCGCCGGCGGCGGGTCCCTCCGGCTGTGCAGCACGCGGGTGAGCCTGGAGGGCATCAACAGGCCCGTCATAGACCGCATCATCCGGGTGGACCACGCGGGGGAGTACGGGGCAAACCGCATTTACGCGGGGCAGATGGCCGTCCTGGGGAGATCGAGCGTGGGACCCCTTATCCAGGTTAGTGGGCCTAAGAGCGATCGCTGTGCTTGTGTTTAATTTGCGTTTGGTTAACAACGGACGGGTGAAGTTGAAAAGTGGCAGTTTTTTGTGGTAAGATAGCTGTCCATTTTCTAAACGCTTTGAGACATGCATCTTATGAAGAGAGGTGGGATTACTTGATAAGGGAGTTGCAGTACTTACAGCTACTTTAGTGTTGTCACAAAGACTTACTTTGTAAATGTGTTTTATGTTGTCTTTTTGTAACTATCCTCATCTGGCATTCTTAACCATTAACTCTTTGTAATGTGATTAGTGCTACCTCTGCAACCAAAGTATGAGTGGCCTGAGCCATTTTGGTTTTCTTTGTGTTTATTAGTTTTATTGGAAATGCTTAGCTTTCCTGGTTTTACACTTCACTGTGATCTCGTTCTTTTTCCAGCAAATGTGGAATCAAGAAAAAAAACACCTGAAAAAGTTCAATGAGCTGATGGTTGCATACAGAGTTCGACCTACTGTCTTACTGCCTTTTTGGAATGTAGCAGGTTTTGTTTTAGGTGAGTTTGTGTTGCTGTTGTTGTTTTGTTAAGTCTTCAAATGTGTAAATTGTTTGCATGGCTTCAGGTTTCAGTGTTCTCATCATTTCGGTACCGCAATCACAGGGGCTGGAAGTGCTTTGCTTGGGAAGAAAGGAGCAATGGCTTGCACAGTGGCAGTGGAAGAGAGTATATCAGATCACTACAATAACCAGATCCGAACACTTGTGGAAGAAGATCCAGAAAAGTACAAAGAACTCTTACAGGTATTTAAGTATGACTTAAAAAGTAATTTAGCAAATTCATTAAGGTATCTCTTGTGACTTTAGTCTTTAAAAATAATATGTTCATAGAGTTTACAGTAGATCTCTTTTTGTTCTATTGCTTGGAATACCGATGTCAACAGAAACTTTTAAGTTAAATGGATGTTTTATCCTTCAGCAGCACTAAATTTATCAAGCACCAAAATTAAAATGTGTGTTGGATTAGCTTCAGCATGGTTTCAATAATTCAGCATTTCCCTTTTATTGGAGGAACTATGCTTTAATTTTGCTTAATTTTAGTTGAGCAGAAGGGTTTAGAGGGGAAACAAAAGGAGAAAATAAGATTATATTGTGTATAACATTTTGCTTATAATGGCTGTGATTATACAGTTAGACTAGAATATTTCAGTTGGAAGGGTCATATAGTGATCATCTAGTCCAATTGCCTGACCAAATCAGGGCTGACCAAAAGCTAAAGCATGTTATTAAAGGCATTGTCCAAATACCTCTTAAACACTGACAGACTTGGAGCATTGACTACCTCTAGGAAGCCAGTTCCAATGTTTGACCACTCTCTTGGTAAAGAAATGCTTCCTGCTGCCCAGTCTGAACCTCCCCTGTGAACCATTCCTATGTGTCCTGTCACTTGATCCCAGCGGGAAGAGCTCAGCACATCCCTCACTTCCCTGCTTCAGGCAGCTGTGAAGAGCTGTGAGGTAACCCTTCAGCTTCCTTTTCTCCAAACTAGACCAGCCCAGAGTCTGTAGCTGCTCCTCACAGGACATGGCTTCCAGCCCTTTTACCAGCTTTGTTGTCCAACTCTGAATGCAGTCAAGCACCTTCACATCCTTCTTAACCTATGAGGCCCAGAACCACACACAGTACTCCAGGTGAGGCCACACCAACACTGAGCACAGCAGGTTAATCCCCTCTTTTGAGCAGCTGGTCATGCTGTGTTTGATGCAGCCCAGGATGTGGTTTGCTCTCTTGGCTGCCAGGGCACGCTGTTGTCTCATGTTGAGCCAGCTGTTGACCAGTGCCCCATTCACATTCTAGCCTTGAATACTGTTCAGAGCATGTAAAGAGCTAATATTTGTAAGCTCTGCAAGAAAATTATTTCCCAAGTATTTTAGGTATCAAATTGGCCTCATTCTTTTAGGGTGTTTGTGGGAGACTGACCCGTTTCCACATGTAGCACCTTGGGCTTGTTTGCACTGTTTGCAGGAGTTTGCTTTAGGGTCCACAAGTTCATTTCCAACTTTGCTGACTATTTGTATATTCAGTTGGGTATAGTTTAACATGTAGCCAAATCTGGTTACTCCAAACTGTCTTCTTGTTATAGAAATAGTACCCAGAATCTGCTGACATGCACAGCCTTGTGCACGTTTCCCTTAAAATACTGCCACTGAAAATAAAGGCTATAAACTGAGAGGGCACAAACTAAACAGAAAAAAGTGAAGCAGCAGAGGGTTATTCACAGTGGCAGTATGAGGAAGACCAGTGATGAAACCAAAAGCAGTGCACATCTGTTGAGTAGGGACAGTGCTTGGGTGTCTGTAAATGCTGAGCACTTTTAAGCAATCACAGTGATGCAGGCACCTTGAGAGAAAATTCTTTAAATCTTTTTGCCCAGTTGGAAAATTAAAACGGGAAAAAGAGTGTTCTTTAGGATATGATAGAATGGATAGAAGCCCTGTTGGCTTACAGGGAGATAACAGAATTCCTGGCAAGGCAGGGACCTTAATTTCATTATCTTAATTTTCAGAATAATTTGTATGTGTGACACTACTGTAACAAGTTACTACAAGTATAGATTTTCTTGGAGACAATGAAGAAGATAGTGATATATCAAACTAGCAGCTGGGTTTGTAAAAACTTTTTTTTTTTTTTCAAGAATATTAAAAGATCTTTAGGTTTGGGGAATGCTGTAAATAATTCCCTTCTTGCTGGATTGGGGATATAGGTCTTTGAGAAGTTTTTGAGATACCTGAGCCTCAGATGCCTGCAATGGTCACCAGCGTATAGTTTTGCATTCTGGCTGCCTTCACTTCTCTGTGAAGTAGATTTACTAATTAACTGCTATTTTTAAAGATAATAAAGCAATTTCGTGATGATGAACGGGAGCACCATGACATTGGGATTGAGCACGATGCAGAAGCAGTAAGTACAATGTTAACTGATTGGCACTGTTAGCAAGGATGCAGGTGTAATATTCTTGTTTTCCTCACCTAGTGACTGTGCTGTAGTTTGTTACTTGAGAAATAGAAAATAAGGCACTTGATAAGAAAGCACTGCATGTTACAGCTTTCTAGAGCAGAATTGAATCTGTTGGACTCATGTCAAGTGTTCAAATGATTGTGTTTTCTTGAGAGGTGTCCTCTGCACAATTTTTAATCTAATGTTTAGATTAAATATTTTTGAGGGTAAGGCTAATAAGTGCTAACCATACAGCTGGGAACTTGAGGCATCATCTTGGTAGATGAACACAACCATGTTAGGAAGTGTGAAATGCTGAACTAAATTCTGTGCTTCTTTGAATACTGTATGAGGAATGTGTGACTTCTTCCCTCTTTTTCTTTTGACTTATATTTCTGGAGAAATGAAAACATTT